AAGAAAACGGTCACAGTTTTTTTTTTCTTTTTTTTTTTATGAGTTAAATTTGGCAAAGAGTAATGCGAATCAGAATTAAGTTGTCTGAATACTGACAGTTATAGCATATTTTGAGGATGGGAAGCGAAAGTTAATTTGTTGTTTTTAGGTAATTCATGTCTAATTATTGGTTTACAGTCGAAACCTGATGCATACCATGATCAACAACGTTATTAAAAAACAAAGTATTTCTTTAACTGTTTTTTTTACTCTTGGTGAACACTTCATATATAGAACAAAAGAGTGGCTTATAAAAAAAACTCGGGTAAGCAAATGCTTCGCCTTTAAACTGCTTAAAAACATTAATTTCTTAAAGGTTTCACCGAGATTACCCGACTTCATGAGAAGTTTTGCATAAAGATAAAGCCCGTTGAAGCCGAGTGCTGTCAAAAACAAACGTTTTTGCATATTTCAGTTGTCAATATTTTGCAGTGTCCATTTTACAAAAACGCATTAAGTCGTGGTATTTTTATTGTCTGCGAACGAGACAATTAACCTGACGGCAAATGCGGAATTGCTGTCGTTCTGGATGAGTAAAAAACATAATACTAAATATTGCAAGCAAAATAAACTCCTCAAAGACTGGGACAGACAAGAAGACGATACCGAGCGTTCTCTCTCTCTGAGGCTCTTATTCTTCTTTCACTGTACAAACTAGCCCAACATTTCATTTTTCCAATACCAAACATTCAGGAGCAGCCAAATGTCCTAAATATGAGGGTACAAGTGGTGAGGGGACGGTTGGGATATTCTTGAAGATGTCGCTGTAGTCACGGCGAAGTATTTCCGAAATTCCTGATCAATAAACCTAGAATCTATTTATTTTCCTTTGAGCCAAGTTAAAACTTTCGTAGACTTGAATGAGTAAGAAAAGAGTGTCAACAAAATAAGTGAAGGAGGCTATGAATAACCTATCATTTCATCGTTCCTTGTGCGTACAAGTCGCAGTCATTGCTAGAAACCTGTCGATTTCATATTTTGTTCTTCTACAACTTACTTATAGCGGTTGATTACAAACTGGCAGTGCGTTCGATACTAGGTATGCGGAGGTAAACAAAAACAAATAATGGCCGAACTTCCGAGGGAAGTATGTTACTTCCGGTTGGCTATAGGCTTTCCTCGTTTTTTTGATAACCCTCAGTGAGTAGCGCATGCTTCAAAAGTCTCACAGCCGAGAACTAACTGCGGTACCTCCCGAAATTTACTTGGTATACGGGATCGACATCAATTCCTGTTCTATTGTGTGAAAAGAAAGAGGAATTGTTTCTCGAGAAAATTACAAATCTGCCGAACGTGTTGTGGGCGCATCTTCAGGACTACCTATTCGACTTGCCTGGTCCGTAGACCTGAGAACGACTTACGAACGCGTTCAAATACTCCGTGAACGCCAAGACATCGGCGGTGGGCACCTACCTCCCCCAGGCTATGTCACCCTGGAGCGCGTCTCCAACTGGAGTGTTTAGCGTCCTATCCCGCCCATACATCAAAAGTGGTCCTGAAGTGGCAACAAATGACGTCACAGAAGCCGAAGTGTCATGCTGTCGTATGTCGCGATCCTGGCGCGGTTGGTCGTAGTCGGTTGGTCGTATGTCGCGATCCTGGCGCGGTTGGTCGTAACGAGAAGCTGCGAGCAGCAGAATCGAACGTGCGTGTCGCTGTGGTCACGGCGTCCCAACTTCTGACTGCCCAAGCTTCCGTGAACAGCCACACTAAAGAGCGACCTGCAGGAGAGCAGGCGCCTGCCACATACACCACAGCTGTTGGGACGCCGCCAGGATCGCGACCGGAGAGAGCGTGACATACGTATGACGTCATGAGGCGGACATTGAGGGACCAGTTTATGGGACGCGGTAAACACACCAGTCGGAGACGAGTTAGGCACCTTATACCCAGGCGCCGAAAGTACGCGTCGAGCTTCCCCAAAGGAGTTGCCGAGCCGGGTCTTGGTTTTCGCGTTTTAGCAGACAAGCTTCCAAAAGCTTTTAATTAGGCTGTCTGTAATTCACCTTTTTTGTGCGTGTGTGTCTGTGTGTTTTCACTTGCTGGCTTTGGTATTCAAGGTTTCTTTTTCAGATCACCGTGCACATTGAATTTGTGCGTACGTGCTGTAATGGCTCATTGTTGTACGAAAATGGTCGGTCGAAGCGCCGCGCGCCGCGGCGCCGGCACCTTATTCTCGCGTTGTGCCGTCTGTCGGCAGCACATCGAAGTAGGCTAGCAACGTCTGCCGATGCCGTCGTCCTGCGATCACCCGGGCTCGGAGGCGTCGGTAGCGTCCCTAGTCTCGAGATAATCGAAATAACTTCATTCGTGACATTTTGTTCGTGCCGGTACGCATCGGCATCTTAAAAGCACAACACTGGAGCATTTCTCATGGGATTACTCGCTAGTAGGGGTGTGCGAATGGTCGCCATTTTCGAATAACGAATCAAATATTACCCTGTTCGATTCGTTAATCGAATCGAATTATAATTCTAAAAAGTTCCGAATAGTCGTTACGGTGTCGCGCCGCGAGATTCCCTTCACAGGCGTCCCACAACTCGCCGGCACGCCTGCCATACGTGACCGCGAGATGGCAGTACGTACCCTATTCTCCTAGACAATGATTGTCATCACCGGCAGCAGCAGTGCCTCCCTATACGTGCGTTGCTGTTGCCTCCATTAGGGACAACTGTGTTTAGTATAACCCGTGTGTAGCGATTTGCCGAGAGATGAGACAGGCGACGTCGACCCGCTTCGCTGTCACTCGGTCAGTCGCGCGATGAGGGAAGCCGCATGAAAGTGTCGTGAGCAAGTGACCAAGGCGATGAGGACGTTTTCTAGAAATCCAAGCACCGAGCGACACGACGAGCGACAGTGACAAATCTCCGTCGCTCGCTGCTGAGTTTTGACCCTCGTCGCTGTCGCTCGTCTTGTCGCTCGCTAAATCGCTTACATGCGGATCAGCATTTAGGGACCGCTTTTGCACGAGACTGCCCGTGCACGCTTTCGGAAAGCGTGTAGTGAAGACATTTCAGAACTGGTTGCAACAATACCGCCGCTCTGTGTGAGCGAAGTAGAGGTGGTAGAAGCAGGAAGTCGTTCGAAGAGAAAGAGCAGTAGAATGTGGAAGTTTTTCGGCCGCTCCCATGCAACCAATTGAAGAAGCCACAACAGCTGCTTGTGTCCAGTCTTTTTCCATGGTTGTTCCAATTGTGCAGTGTGTGAAGATGTTGCTTTTTGAGGCCCCAATTGGAAAAAGACAATGTGTTTTCCCAGAATATTCTCAGATCATTGAAAACAGGGTTTCTGGACTTAAGCACACAGGCACATCACGTTCTTACCATCTTCCTTGATCCTCGATTCAAGAACAGCTGAGCTACAACAAGGAATAAAAAGAGAATGTAGAGTTCCTACTAAGTGCAATGCTTCAGGATGTACCAGGCCCAAGCGAACTGTGATTTTATGCTCAACATCCGCGCGAACCGTGATATCAAGTTTAGCATGCTGAAATTTTAGTAGCTTTTGTCTATATTTAAATATATATCGTTGAACTCTAGTTATTATTATCTAGTCGCGTTTAAAACATTTAAGGAACATTTTGGAAGAATAAAAATAAATTTATAATCTCTGCTCTTTTTTAATAGCTGTCTACTTACTATTCGAAAACTATTCGAGAATTATTCGATTCGTATTCGTATTCGATTCGGTTTCAAAAATCACTATTCGTGCAACCGTTCTCGCTAGGGAACCAAGAGTCGTCGCGCACACACCCAAACAACGTAAACATAGGAGAACCGGAAGTCTTTCTCTCCCCCTGTCATGGCGGCCGGAAGTGGCACAAACACCAGGTTTAAAAGATAGTTATGTCATGCACTTTACTTGGTTTCTTTTCCGGGTTTTTGTTGTAAATATTAAGAAAATATTTTTAATTACTTGAAAGCGACCCGTTGCGTATTTTTTTTTTTTTTTTTTTGTATACCTAGAGTTTGGAGATAGAGTTATAGAGTTCTGTCAAAATATTTCTTGCTTGTATATAGAAACATATTTTTACTCTTTTTTAAGCGCGACATATTCTAAATGTTTTCATTTTCGGATACGCTTTAAAATGTGTGTGACGTGTACAGGGCCCTTTAATGTTGCTAATTTTCATAGCTGTATATAGGTCTGTTTTCATACACAATAAGACCAATATCTCATTAGGTTACGAAATCGCGTCATGCTCAGTGTCAGGTTTACACTTACTTTTTTAGAGTACAGCTGTCAGGCGCCCGTTTCCGGCTTGAGCGGCGTCGCCGTCGTCGTCACCGCCTTTTGCATTATGGGACGTTTCCCATAATGACGTCACGAGGGCCACGATTGACGTCACACGGCGCCAAAATTTGGTCGAGAGTTTTTCTGCTAAATTTAGTGGTGAAATGGAGGGGAAATTTTCCCGCTAAATTTAGCGAAGAAATTTTTTTGAGAGCGTGAAAAAGTTTTTCGTAAATTTGTTCTACTAAAATTAGCGGGGAAATTTTCGTGTCAAAGGGAGCGGGAAATTTTTCCGCCATATTTAGCGGGAAAAACGTCTTTCCTTTTTTTTTTTTGTCATTTGTTTATTTTGTGTTGCTATTTGCCTGTGCTGTCTCGATAAGCTTCAATAATGTTTTAGAGATCGCCGGGAACGCAGAATCATGGGAACGTGTCAGAGTGAATCGATGTATGGAACGTCGGTATAAAAATATGTGAAATGACGAAAGTTACATTCTACAGAAAGTATATTTTGCAGCGTCCACCCGTCTATTTTTGCTGTCTATTTAGCTGCAAAGTTTTTTGACAGGGACGCACTAGAGGAACTTAATTTCGGTAGAAGGTTGAAGTATATTATTAAGTATTGGACGATCATAAAGTATGTGACTTGTGATCTTTTTACCGCCACTACCGATATGAGACATATCTTTTTAAGCCTCTGCTAAACTAAAAACTTTTAAACATTTTCCCACTTTTTTAGACATTTTATTTCGATTGTTTTTCATAATAACAATAACACAGCGAAATTCAAGAGTCGCCGAAGCATGGCACATCACGTAATCAGCAGCTCGGTAATATTGTGTCTACATCACTCCGAAAACAAAGAACAATAAGAGCAAGTTTATAGAGCACAATCTACGTCAAACAGCCAAACAAACATCAAACGAGGAAAAAAAACGACTAGATCTGCATCAATGATAAAAACCATCGAAAGGAAGCATCAAGAAAAACAAATATCAGTGAAACAGGAGGAGGATACATACATTTCCTACAGTTCAGCGCAGGTTAAGTATACTCAGAGACACAGTGGAAGAAGAGAGAGCTGTCTGAACGGTGCCGCCTCGCCACGGAGCAAATGTGGCTCGCTCGCATTTCAGACAAACGCCCTGAGATGGCGCAGCATGGAAGGGGCCGATGAGAGTCAATTAAAGAGTCGTCCTCAATCACGAACACCTTTACGAGGCCACGCAGTGCGCTACCGCGCCTGCGCAACGGTCCTAAACCGACAGTGTCTGAGCCGGCTTTTGCCTGAGCAGACGTTTGCGCCTTGGTTGTCTATTGTCTGAGTTTCGCCTCAGCAAAAGTGCGCTCAGGCCAAACCGGAGCAGACATTTGCCGCCTTGGGTGACTTTGTTTGGAGACGTCTCTTCTTCCACCGTGTTCACAGATATGTGGCTTTGAAATTGGCCTTCGCTATAGAAATTGACTGAGGAAGTTTACCATAGTTTGTTTTTTTTTCGCTTCTGTTCCCACGTACCACGATGAGATGGCGATTTTTGTTTAGTTGTAATGCCTGGAAAATGTCGGCAGGAAGAGCGAGCTTGCATGGCGATTAGCGAAAAGAGGACTCGGGGAGCAAAACCATTTTGCCGCTTACAAGTTAAAACATAGACTAGACGCGTTCCTCAACAGATGCTGCGGGCCGTACAAAGTCGAGTTTAAGGCCGTTGGCGGAAATATCGTAGCGTCATCCAGCGCAGAGAGCTAGGCCTTGTTGTTCCAGAACATCCCAAAAGGCTGCGGCGGGATCAGTCGGGGTCTCCCTTGAGAACTGTGACCAGGGCGACTCGCTCAGCGGGCGTGGGCCTTGCAGAAAGGGCGACCTCCTTTAGCGAAGAAGCTCTGACCTTCGAGATTCTTGTGGCAGATCTGCGGTATTCGAAAGACAAAGAGGAAAAACAAAATTAAGAATGATCCTAAATGTGCTGTAAGTGCCGACAGACCAAGGTTTGTTGCAAGATCGCAAATATGAGTGAATAGGAATTTTGTAAGAAATAACTTGATTTTTAATAAATAGTCTACAATCCCAGTACCGAAAGATCCGGGCGGCAACATTAAATATAAACTAAATCTTAGAAATGTCCCCCATCTCTGGAAGAGGATTTTATAAACAAATCTAAGGTTTATCTATTAAAAAAAAATATTGCACAAGTGTAAATGTCTAATTTACAGAGGCGTCTGCAGTTTAAAACTTAATCTTTTTTTTTTGCTCTTGCTTTAGTTAAACATTTTTAATTTATAAAACTAGACGAACCATACGAAGAAATAAGCACTGCAAAACTTTGACACACGGAAAGTCGTAAGTCGGCAGGTTCGCCGAGATAATGGGCTGGTTCACAAAACTGCTTTTTGTTCTCTTTAAATAGCTCATACGAGGTTCCTTCTTCTCAAGATACACCCGTGTGATACCGAAAAACTCCAAGGCAAGCGGTGAACAGAACTTACCGTGCACTTGAAACATTGCGAGTGATAGTTGTTGTTAAGGGCCTCAACCCAGCGGTCTCCAGCCTCGATGGGAAATCCACATCCCACGCATTTTGTGGTGAACAGTTCGTTCCAGTCTGAAAAAATGTATGTTACGTAATATTAAAATCTGATAACTTTTCGAGCACATGTTAAACGGATGGCATTGGTATATTTACTGCAACACACCAACGAAATAATAAAAAAACATTTTTCATAAGAGCGAAAGTTCATATTATTTAGAAAAAAAAGCATGCTTCGAATGCCGTATGTAACATTTTTATTTTGCAGTGATGCAGATTGATAGATGTGTAACAAGGATAGATCATTAATGTGACCGTTAGTTTCTTCCTGCTTTCGTTCTGCCAATAACGTTTTAGGTTACCGTCGATTGAACGGACCTGGGGATATTAAAATGAGCTAGGACATCAAAAAGAGCTCATTCTCAAGTCGCGTCTTGGCATGACCTTTGTCGTGAACTATAGCCACTCAACATTTGTGAGATAGCTTTCGTCGAATTGACTTAGTTGAGACTATACGCGGAAACATCCACTTATTTCTCGTGACGTTCATTGAAAGCTGAACCACCAGTGAAAACATTGCAGAATTCCTGAAAATCGGAATTCTGCATTGACATAAATAGACTAACTCTGTTGACCGATAAACATCAGCAACTTTGATAACCCGGCAACTTCAAGATGTGCCACAAAATCTCAGATGCTTCGTGATTTTATCTCGTGACAAAAGGACTAAAATTAAAATTACCCGTGTGCTTAACTATACTGATCGCGTAAACGGGCGTTCAGTGCTCAGAGTGAATCGGTGTGAGCAAATAGCTACCAAACACTGACAGGAGCGAAAATTGCCTGCAGGTGCATGGAAAAACATTTTCGCGCAATGTCCGAGTCATTGAGCCACATACCCTTTTCGCAATAAGGCATCCCGTCTTCGAGGTAAAAAGAGCTGTTGCCAAAGGCAGTCTTGCAGTAACTGCACACGAAACACTCCGGGTGCCATGTTTGTTCCAGGGCATTGAGGCAATCCTGAAACACGCAAAGTTATATTGAGAAGGCCGCGCCACGACTGAGTGGCTACCGGCAGTCATGCGGAACAACTTCAATAGCACTAACGTGACATCCTTCGAACAAGAACGAAAGCATACACCTCATTCTATGAGCCACCCGGGGCGATGAAAGTTCTTCATACCATCGCTTTAATCTCCCTTACAGATTTCGCGCTTGATAAAAGAGACAGTAACACAGTTCAGAGCTAACTCTCCTTCAATGCTGGAGGTTTTAGAAACGTAAGGACACTCATGCATTTATCTCTAGTTGAATGTCGTCTTGTTTTCTTGGACATCGATTCAGAACAATTTATTCAATATGAAACCGCGTATCTAATGAGAACAGTGTATTTAAATTGGAACCGTATATTTAATACTGTTTATTCAAACCGGCGCCACCGATTCCGTACTTTTCACTTTCATTCCATCGCAGAAAAACTCGGTATCTCATTCAGATTCAAAGCAGTGTAGCGTCAATATACGATTTCTGCTACATTAGATTCCCAGAATAATTTTAAAAATATCGTACCATCCCTCAACCTCTAGTTATTTTTACGTCGGATCCTAACAAAACGTTTAGCTCGAGATTCCTACTTCTGAGTTTCGGCAGACGAGAAAACATCATCCACGTGTATTTCCAAATACCCATGTGTCCAATCTTTGTTAACACCGGTTTTGTTTGTTATGTTTTGATGACTATGATAACGACAGTACAGAAATGCGGGAAAAAAGATGCGCGAGGAACGAAGGCACGAGAGAACGAGGAGGAATTTGGAGCTGACCAACTAGCAGCGGTGGACGGCCACGGCTGCTGCTTGAATCCCGGCCCGTCCACGTCACGGTGCCAAGTCGCGGACTCCCGACAAGCCTGGCGGCCACGTATGGCACAGCCCGTCATCGGTCCGAGAACTCAAGACGCTATCCCAGAGATATACCTTCTACTACATTGGAGAAGCTACTATCGACACTTAGATCAGAGTAAAATTTTTGACCATGTTTCTTTTTCTTTCTTTTTCTTGCTGTAAATATATTTCCATCTTTTTTTCTCAAAACTCGTTGGCTGGCCTGTTCTTTTTTTTTCCTCTAGAGAACGCTGAGAATTTGGCGAGCTAACCAGGATCCCTTGTTCACTGGTCTGACCTCGTTTGCCTGGGAGACAGTGCGTGCGGCCATCACCAGTTTTGAGATTATGAAAGTTGACAGGTTGCTGGCGATCGGAAAAGATCTCGGATGTGCGGGGGATGAACTGAAGACCAGGGTTGAGCGGGAGACAAACCTTCAAGGGGAAGAAAGGGCGCAGGCGCTCGAGGCGGCGCAGAGAGAAGCATGAAGCACGAGAAGGGACGTGTCGGACGGAATGCGCCAGACTTGAGAAAGAGCGCGAAGTTCTAGAGCGGAGAATCGCGGCTCAGGAAAGAGGGCATCGCGAGGTACGAGGCGAAGAAAGAGGCGGTTCGACTGGGCCAATTCTTCGGTCCAGTACACGCAAACTTATCCGCACTATAATGAGGCGCGTGGCGATCTTGACGCCGATTTACAGAGGTTTGAGCGTACGGCTGTGGTCTCGGAATGCCCACAGGTCACGTGGGCAACCACTTTAACCTCGTGCCTAACGGCAGAAGTCCTCACTGCGGTCGGTCGCATAAACCCTGCGGATGCCATGGATTATTCTAAGATGAAACTGACTTTTCTCCAGAGGTCTCGATATATCAAAGAAGGTTGTAAGGTGAGATTCTGCGAGGCGAGGCTCGGTAATGGCGTGATAGGGGGACAGTTTGCCGCCAAACTAGCTGGATATTTCGATAGGTATTTGGAAGTCGGTAAAATTGAGAAGACCTTCGAGGTGCTTCAAGACAGGGTGCTGATGATGAAGAAGATCACGATCGTCTTTCTAGCAAGCTGACAGTGTTTCTAAAAGAAAGAGTTTGCTCGACCCTATACGATCTGTCGGGAAAGGTCGACCTCTTCCTTGAGGCCCATATTTCTCAGAGCTCCGCAACAATAAAAAAAGAAGAGTCCACGGCATAAATAATTCTTAGAACAGTATCTAAGACGATTAATGAGAACACGAGGAAGTCATCCCGATGCTTCGTGTGCACCAACATGGGAGCTGAGCGCTGCCAGAGCAGTAACCAATACCCTAGGCCGCTATCATGAAAGCATTGCGGGAGGTTTGTACATAAAGCCGAGAATTGTTGCATGCGGTTGGGTGGTAAACCCCAAGTTTTCTGTATATGGAAGGCTGGTGTTGAAGGGCTGGAGAAAACGCACGAAACCTATGTGACATTAAGGGATGGGCATCAGATACCAGTTGTAAATGCAGCTGTAGAAAGGCCGCTAAAGTTTGCGATTGATAGGATGCCTGTGGTCCAAGGCCGCAAATGTGAAAAGAAGATTAACTACGACAACTGTAGCAATATTGTAGTCGTGAGTAAGAACTCGGTTCCAGTCGTGAGCTATACGAACAGCTTCGATCTAGTATTTTTGTTGAATCGAACTCTAAGATTTCTATCGAGGGTGGAAATTTTTCTCAACACCAACTTTTTCGCGGGAAAGGTTCTCGTGAGGTGCACTGAGAATCCGCTGTACGACCTAGTGTCGGGCAACATCCCACAGGTGCGAAAGGCACACCAGCCGCACCCAGCCTGGAAATTTGGCCAACAGATGAGCGCCGATGTGCGGTCGCGGAGAGAGCGATATAATAATCGCCAGAACAAAAATAAAAAAGGAGAGACGATAGAGAAACTGGTTGTCACTAAAGCACCAGAATACATCACGAGCATTTGGGACGTGGTTTCGATTATGCCGCTCGCAAGATCTATCGTGGCACAAAGAAGGGCGAAGGATGAAGACAAGGAACAACCAACGCCGAAGGTTCTGCAAGTTCCATATCTCGGCGCCACAGTTGAGAACCTTTCGAGAGAAAAGAAGAAAGACGAGTCCCTGAGGGATTGTTTTAAGAAGGTTTGGAAAGGGGAAAGAAAGCACAGATGCTGAAACAAGATAGTAGATGGTGACTAGCAAAAACATCCTTTATCGGAGCTGCGTGTTTACCAACGGGAGAAGTTCAGAGCAGTTAGTTCTGCCAACTAATTACAAGTCAACACGCTCGCTCCTGCGACGCTTACCAACAAAGGGTGCATAGGGCAGAGTAAGCAAAGATTCCTTCTTCGAAGCGTCTACTGCATGACATTCGGGTGTCGGTTGACATCATCAGCCCGCGGCAGACGAGGTTCTGACCTTAATAACATTTGAGACTTTTTTTTGAATCCGGCGATATGCGCGAACAGTAACGTAATGCGATGGAGCTTGGCGCGACGAGACCAGGATTTTCACGTGCAAAATACGTAGACAAGACGATAATGTTGGAGCCGACTACATGAGCGGTCAGTTTGTCGAAGACGCTTTGGAGCCATAATTTTACAAGACTGGTGAAACCGTTCCAAGCGACGCGGAGATATATTTATGTGTGCTTATTACTTTACTTTCTTGTGTCGTTACGGTACCTAAGAAAAAGAGTATATATTCCTAGGCGCTGCATATTTGTTAACCACACTGAGGATTTGCCAGCAGAGCTGATAAGCGCAATCCGTCCTCATGATAGGGACAAGATTTCAAAACAGAGTTTGCACAAGAAAGGCATGGGTGTGGCAGTCTCGCCCTTGAGTTATTTTTTTTTATAATTATTTTGTGAGGTTTGTGACTTTCACTTTCATTTACAATGTTTTCTGCTATATATACAGACGCGCCTCTGTGTCAGCGAACACGTGTTTGTGTACGGGTGTCCATCGCGACAACGACAGTGAATCGACCACGTCGTCATACTGAAGAACCTTCATTGAATGAAGTTCTTGAAGTGAGGGGGTAATGTCATGTTTTGATGAGAATGATAACGCCAAAATATAAAAGAACGAGGAAAAATTCGGAGCTGACAAACAAGCCCCGACAGACGGCCATGACTGCTACTTGAATCCTGGCCCGTCCACGTCACGGTGCCAAGGCGCTGACTCCTGACAAGCCCATCCGCGGCGCACGGTACAGCCGGGCATCGATCCGAGGCCCCAAGGCGCTGTCCCGGAGATTTTCCCTTCTAATACTTTGAAGGAACCATTGGCGAAGCTCGATGAGAGGACGGTTTTGGCCATGTTTCTTTTCTGTGCCTGCAACACTGAATTAACTTTTTTTTTTCTTTTGATTGTTAATTTCTTTCGCTTTTATTTGTTTTTCTCCGTACATTTTCACTGTAATTTTTCAAAACTGGTTGGTTGGCCTATTCTCTCCCTTTCCTGGCGAGCAGTGACAGTGTTATAAGGCTGGGTTTCATGAGAAAAAGGACACGCTTGGCTGACACACAGGTCACGTAATATCATGACGTCACGTGGAAACGTGACATCTATAGGAGTCAGCTCCGAGATATGAAATAATTTTTCTTCTTTTTCTAAGCTCGCTGCGCGAGCTTCCTGAGGCGCGAGAATAAAAGCCGGTGGAGTGAGGCGGATTCCCCTCCCTCACTCCACCGGTACCATCCTCTGCGACATGAGCATGGGACATCCTCGACCTTTCGTCCCATTGACACTTCGTCGGCAGGTCTTCGACCACATCCACAACATCAGCCACCCGGGCATCCGAGCCACGCAGCGACTGGTGACAGCTCCCTATGTGTGGCCTACAATGAACGTGGATGTACGAGGTTGGGCCAGAAGCTGCCTTCAATGTCAGCGCTCTAAGGTGAGCCGACACACTGTCACACCTTTGAGACCATTCCGTGCCCCCTCGGCACGGTTCGACCATGTTCACCTCGATCTTGTGGGCCCCCTGCCGTCATGCCGAGGCTTCACGTACATCTTGACTTGCGTCGACCGCTACACCAGGTGGCCCGAAGCCACTCCCCTGGTCGACATCACTGCCGAGACAGTCGCCAAGAACTTTATCGACATCTGGATATCCCGCTTCGGATGTCCATCCACCGTCACTACGGACCGGGGACGGCAATTCGAATGCTCGCTGTTTGCTGCTTTAGCCCAGCTCCTCGGCACGCACCACGTGCACACTACCTCATACCACCCGTCAGCCAATGGCATGGTGGAGAGGTTACACCGACAGCTCAAGGCCGCAATCACAGCACGAGATGGACGTCTCAACTGGGTTGACCATCTCCCATACGTCCTTCTCGGCATTCGATCCGCCTTCAAAGAAGACCTGGAATGCACCTCGGCTGAATTGGTTTATGGATCGCCGCTCCGACTCCCTGGAGAATTTTTCGATATCACCAAGTGCACTCCAACAATTCCACACCAAGTGTACCTAGACGACTTGAGGCACTTCATGCAAGAACTTAAGCCCACACAACCTCGGATGCCCCATTCTCAGAAGATCTTCGTAAGTCAAGAATTGAAAACTGCCACCCACGCATTCGTCCGAAAGGAAGTCAAGAAGAAAAGTCTCACGCCACCTTACGAGGGACCCTTTAAGATACTCGAGCGCACCGAAAAGACCATGACTCTTGACATTCACGGACATCGAGAAATCGTCGCCATGGACCGAATCAAACCCGCATTTCAGGACTCAAATTCTCATCTTTCATACTCGGAGCAACTTGTAAAACCCCAGGAAACCAAGAAACCAAGAACTGTTTCATGGGCCACATAACTCACAAAACCCTTCTTCTTCTTGCTGCCACCATTGGATCAACTACAATTTTATTTGTATTTCCGTGCTCCATGCTGCCAGGGGGGAGCCCTATAGGAGTCAGCTCCGAGATATGAAATAATTTTTCTTCTTTTTCTAAGCTCGCTGCGCGAGCTTCCTGAGGCGCGAGAATAAAAGCGAACAGTTCGAGCCAGAACACCGTGGAGCTCGGACGTCTTTTCCACAACATCACATGACACCCGAACTTAGCGCCATGAAGGGACGTGACATCCGACAAACACAAGGATGTGCCTAGCTCGTTCGCAACACGTTATATGCGTCTCCGTATTTACCACATACAATCGAGACGTAATTTGCTTGTATACACATCTAAGCCCGCAGTGACGTTGCAGCGTCAGGTATGCATGTACGCACCCCCTTGATGCGGTGGCCGCACTTTCTGCACACGGGCGCCATGTAGGACTCGTAGCAGTGCTCGCAATACAGCTTGGACTGCTCCTCGACGAAGCCGATGTCCTGGAGAGACCTCCGGCAGCTGGCGTTGGCGCACAGGAAGTGATCTGGGCACCAGTTCTTGCCCATGGCCGTCACGAAGGGGCCCCTACGGCGGCAAAGCACACGTTAGCCGGCGCGAACTACGCATATTAAGGCTGATTCAGACATCTTTGATTGAATGGGATCGACTGCGTTAAGGGTTTTCCAAACAGGACGCAGGAAATGCCGTGCATGACAAAAAAAAAGCGCTTTTCTTTTTTCTTTTTTTTGTAGCGTTGAGGTTTTGGTTAGCGCGTATGTTTTCAATCGGGACATTAGCCACACAAACAGCTCGGCTTTCCTCCTCGTATTCTCACTGTTGTCTCTTCCCTTTCCTTGTTTTCGGGAGATTGGGCAGTGACAACAACAGCCGATGTCTTGGCGAAAGTCAGCAGAGCGTGTGAGTAGCTGTCCGGGCGCACCTGGTGATCACACTCCAGGCCTTTTTCCAAGGGCGCTAGCAGGCAATTACTTTGCTTCAGGATAAAAAAAAAAAAAAATTAAAATGAGGGTTAGAATTGGAAGAAAATCTCCACTTCCGGTAAAGCAAATACCGTGCACGGCGTCTGCTGTGTCCAACATCCCTTTGCGATGCGGGACACTCAATGACGTCATTTCGAATTCTAAGTGTATTTCGACTGACCGAAAGGATAATTTTTGTGATGCATAAAGGTGATAGTTTAGCAATTGGGAGCTGCTTAATATTCCTTAGGAGTTTTACTGCAACTGAGCTGCCCACAGCGTTGGTCTATTGGCTAAAATAAAAATACTTTTAATTCGCTAACCATGCGCTAAACGAATAACAAACGTTGCACATCGACACCCCGGATGCCCTGTTGTCTTTGTATTTATTATATTTCGGGGGTGTACGACAAGAAAAATAAGAAGACTTGGCTTGCGTTTTTCTTGTTCTTGCTAAAAAAAAAATGCAATTGCATCAAAAATATAAAATTTCCCTGCACCCAACAACTGCACGGTAAGACGATCAAAATGAATTCAATTTAGTTCTTTAAAATAAGAAGTACATGGTTCAAAAATGCCACAGCAACTTCGAAGTAATTTGACCAAAAGTATAAACTAGAATAATCCCCTTCGCAATCTCAAACATAATAGCTTAGCTTCTTCGATATTTCGAACTATTCTTTAGCTCGTACTTGCGCTGGCCCGTCCTGAAAATCAATCTTCTTCTACGGTGTCGAAATTTAATACGGTAACATCTGTATTATATTACAACACTGGGCAGTCATAAAGTACTAAGGCACGCCGGAGGTTTCTTGCACGGCAGCCTTGCTTCACGGCATAATGCTTTGGATTGCACGAACATTGCTTCACTGCAGTGCTCAGATGCAACGCAAAGAAAGACCCTTCGGCTTCGCCGCGTTGCTGGCGGCTGTTGAAGCGAACACATTCTATAGGGCTTAGATTTTGTTTTCTCTTTTCCGCTTGCTCACTCAACTTTTGTTATTCAATGCTGATGGGACTGGATCTTTCTCCTAGTACTGCGGCAATGTACAATGGGCATTCAATGTGTCTACATTTGCGAATGATCACTGTATTGTTGTTGTTGTTTTGTTTTTGCTGAAAGGAACGTTGGGCACATCCTCAGCAAACTTGAAGCACGGCGAGAACGAAGAATTTGGGATTGCCTAAAATATAAGATTCACAAAATGATTAACATAAGATTATAAACACGAACAGTGAGTTAACATCTTTTAGCAACTATTTTTAATAAGGAGTTTGGGTAATGACAACTACACTGATTTCTCGTTAACAGGTACTAGTCAGAATATCGTTATGTTAAAACAATTTCTTCTCAGACGAAGTGTGTACTCAGTTTAGTTTGTTGCAACAAGTTCTTGCAGAAGAGGTAAATTGTTCTTCACTCAGATAACCACTACCGCTAATTAATCAGTTCCCACATAAGATTAGCTATCTTAGAGATGCGTTATTTAAATTTTTTTGTAAGATAGAATAAACAGCTGCACGTAAATAGAGTTCCCGTGGGTCCTTCTAAAAGACGAGGATGACAATATCATGTCCATGTGATGGTGCCAAGACTCTCGAGATTTTTATTTCCGCCCTTTGGTTTTGGGCATGTATTCGCATATTTACATACGAAGCCTTGGATGAAGAGCCTCATTTATATTTGTATTTATCCAAAAATTTTGCGGCACGGCTTCTAGTAATAAAATGATTAAAAGACTAAGTCTACAGCCAGTCAGAGTTGGCCCGGATGTGCTGTGGGAGGAATGAAGGAGTTTGATCTGCCCGCAAGCGATACCTGATTGATACTTGAATCTCTGAAACTTGATTAAGCACCGTGCCTAACTCAAAAGTTGCTGAATGAACAAATGTGAATTCAGCCGCACAGCCGTGTGTACAAAGGTTGCCTCGCCCGTACCGTATGGGAGAGCCGCAGTTGGAGCAGATGGGTATCTTTCCTCCGATGGCCACCTGCTGCGAGAGCATCCCCCGTCCTCTCTTCGGGGCCGGCCTGGATCCGACTCCCTGGGACAGACCTGAAGTGCCAGTGGCAAACGGGGCTGAGCCGCCGCTCGCCATGCCGTTGGCAGCCCAGGGCCCACCGCCGCCGGGCTTAGGCCTGGCCGCCACCTGCGGCCCGGCCCGAACCGCGGACGACGGCTTGGGCGCCGTCGGCGGAGGCACCTTGGCCGACGCCGACAACGGCGGGATCGGACTGCCCGCCGACGACGACACGAAGGACGAAGGCCGCGACGAAGCGGGACTCATGACGGGGGAGTACGACATGGGGGCGGCGGGAGGGGGAAAGTAAGGCGGAGCAGCGGCGGGTTGGAACGAGGTCGGGGTCTGAGCCCCGAACTTGGGCACTCCGGCAACCGGAGGCGGCGGGACGACCCGCTGGGTGCCTGGTGGTGGCCGGTACGTCGGGACGCTCGGAGTCGAGTTGGACTCGAGCGGGGCGCTTCCGCCCCCGACGGGGATGGGACCGCCGGTCTTGGCCGGAGGCCACGTGAATTTGGCACCTCCTGAGACGGACGACCGGACCGACCGGGAGGGGGCGGGGTGGTTCGACGCCAGGACCGGAAGCGGGCATCGGGGGGCAGAAGGAAGGAGGAGAGAGGGAGAGGAAAGAGAGAGAGGCGGAAGCGAGATGAGCGATAGAAGCGGGCAGGAAAGACCTCGAAAGCGAACAGATTGTCACTAAATTGAGCCTCTGGCGCGAGGCTCAACTACTTCCTCGTACACGGCTGCCGCGGTGGTGTGCGCTAGAGAGCGCTAGTATACGGCGGCGATGTTAAGAATGTCGTTCCTTCCGCGCTGCACGGGGGGTCTGTTTACGGTGAGATAAGTTCTGAGATGGTTGCTGCTGTCTGTCTCGAGGGATTAAGTGTAGTGCACCTGTACGACCGAGTTGATTTGGCCCGCCGATAACCTGCCGGTAGGATTGTACACCCTCAGCCACTTCGTGCTTGGCATTTGCGGTGTCGGAGAGGTCGAAGCAGGGTCCGATAGCCTCTTCTGGACTTGGTTAACCTCCTCTGTTGAACGCTTTAAGACCATAAAGCGGCCGGGTTTTGAGAGCGGTGTTTTTTGTTGCAAGTGAGTCATGCACAAATAAGTAATAACATTAGTTCTTCTTTCCTTTCTATCTTTTCTTTAACTGACAGGGCAGCGAGGACAACAGATACGAGATCACGACTTTGAATGTGCTTGGCGGAACAAGCATTCGCCTCAAAAAGACACGTTCCACCTTACGATGGACCGCAGCGGACGCTGAGAGCCATCCCAGTCAATTAAGCGCTGGGAATATATCACGTGACAGCGCGCCCCGGTCGTCGCTACGGCCCTCTTCAATGACAAGGGACACGCACGCGTCATTGAATTGACTCTGGTGGCTTATAGCGTCCACTGCCGCCCTTCGTAAGAGGTAATAAAGTATACTGTCGAGAGCTGTAATGACGAAGTCAACGGGAATCGGAAATCACTTCGCTATATCCGTTCTTTCGTTATAACCGACTTTCGTTATAACGAAGTGCAAAAGGGAATGGGAAATCGTCATTGCTTCGCTGTAGCCGCTATTTCGTTAGAGCGAACTTCGTTATAACCGGTCTCGACAGTAGCTAGCTTACGCTCGATGCCTTCACCGCAATGTCAGCCTAAAGTCTAGCTCCAACGTATGCGTTTCAGCGTGACCCCTTGCGTTCTACTGCAATGCTTTGGGCGGACCTCGGTTGCCATAGCAGCCACCTCGTCGTCAGCAGTCGTAAGCGTTCGTGACGCAATGGATCTCACTGAAACGCAAATTTCTGAACCAACCTTAAAGCTTATTGGAGTAGAGCTGCGGATCACAAGCAAGCGGGTGCGAGTAAGCAGAGAAGTTGGGGGCATGCGAAAATTTCACACAGTCGAAACATGCCGACATCAAGGCATTGAACACGCAGTTATGGGGATCAGGGTGAAGAGGAAATGTAAGAACAGGCATCAAACGAATAAAAAGTAAAAATGGAATCGTAGCGCTCGGTGCTCTAATATAAACGAGTGTCACTTAATGATTTTTTTTTTCACATTTCAACCTTCGTGCATAATTTAAAACTGAATTTAGACAAAAGATGGAAATAAATTTATGGCAGCTTCAAAGGCTTGCACAAGAAAGAAAAGACGCAGCGTATTGCGCCACCCATTTACATATCCAATCTTCAATTCTCTTATTTAGTCAGCGCTTGTGCGTGTTTCAAAAACACGTGGTACGAGTTTAATAAATATGCTAAACACTGAAATGCATTACCGCGGGCGATTATATTCCTAGCTTTTGCTGTAGGCATTACCAGAGAGATATGCGCCTGAGAAATCTAACCAGCTCACCTCATGATGTTACAGAAAGAACAACATTTACTGTGCCTCAAATATTTTATAATAAAAAGTCGCTTCATCAACTGTGTGAATTATGCTATGCGTGAATTTTATTTCTTTTCTGACACTCAGTCCCAAAATAAAAAAATTTTAAGAAGCCAGAGTAGGCAGACGAGCTGGTTAGAAAACAACGTAATTTCAAGCCTGAGTCAATAGGGTGAACATTATGATACGTGTCAATTTATTTACGACTGAGAAAAGACACGTACATTTCTTCACAATCAGAAAGGTTGGATTTACTTTTTTATGATAATAGAATATTAGGCAATGTTTCCTTTTACCAGGCTTATGTCGCTGAAGAATTAAAGTTATACTAACAGTCCAGGATGTCCTCAGGGTCGGGGTCCTTGTATCCATTTCCATGGCCGTTCGTGTACGGAAGCACGTACTCTGTATATGCTGCACACGCACACACAGACACACACACATTCCACACTTCATGCCATTACTCAAGCAAAATCCGCTTCTGGTGTTATCATCAGAAATCATGCGGTTACCTTTGAAAAAATGAAAAAAAAACAGACGCAGTTCGCTGTTGTGTACATTAATATCTTAAATCCTGTCACAGTAGAATCAGTCGTTTCTAATTGTGTCTTTTGTTTTCAAGTTAGGTTACTCTGAATAAAAGAGACACCGATTTCTTTTCGGGTAATTTTAAAATGTTAGTAGTTTTGTTTGGCCTTTTATTCCCCTTGCCAAACATACTTCGCATCTTCAGTTGTGCCTTTTGTACTGCGTTGCTGTAAATTTTAATTATTGACGCCTCAGCTTTCAGCTTCATCAGCACAACAACATGAATACCATCTGAGGCCAACAGCCATTATCTGTTCTGTCATGAATTTATTTGAAAAAAGTTGTTTTTCTTTTTTTAATAACACCTTGCAAGCATCGAAGAAGAAGAATGAGTTACAGGAGCGTCAATTACTAGAACTAATTGCATTTACCCTGTGAACTGTAGCGGTGCTGCGTTTTAAAACATTATGATCACTTCTTAATTGATGGTGTGGAGATAAAGCAAGACAAGGACTAGGGACTTTTCATAAGTCGCTCCACAACAAGTTTTTTCGCGTCTAGTTTTCTACAGAGCGCGTAAATTGTCAATAGCTCGAACTAGAGATAAAGCGTAATGTGACATCGTTCATGCTGCGTATGAGATAGGAAAACAAAATGACATGCTCATCGCCAGATTGCAGACTTCCTTTATAGTTCGAAACGTGTTTTCAGTCTTTGTTATTCGTTAACCTCTCTCCTTGTAGATTGTAAAAAATAGTGCTCCAAGGTCTTCCGCGAAAAAGTAAGCGACTTATCATTTTCTTTAGCCCATAAATATAGCAGCAAACACTGCTAACACTTTAATTGATGAGACGTGAAAACTACGAGAGCTCCGAAAAATGATATACAAAGACCTGATAATGTCAAGGCTTTTCCTCTTAGCATGAATGTTTACATCCTGAAACTCCACCGACTCCAGTTTGCGCCTAGCTGAAGAGACGCAAGCAAAGCATGTATAACATGACACTCATTGCTTCTTGACAGCTTGTTTCTCTGTCATTTCGCATTGGTTACCTGGACATTTACAAAATAGGCACACTGCACCCTCCAACATTTCAATTGCTGCTAATAACAAAATAGTTTATCAGTGTCTGTTTTAGCGTTAAAAAATACTTCTGTGGTTTTATTGATTACTGTTTGTTTTTGTTTTTAAAGAAAACATTGTGTTAACTATATAGCGCAACTGTGAACAGAACGGTGACTTGGTTGGGCCCCCACATAACGTTATTAAAACATACGCTAGAGGTTGAACTGGCGCTAGTGTGCGGTTTCAGATTGAATAAAGCGGCAACCCAGTCTGAAATCGACTTCCGGTGATGCATTTCTTTTAAAAAAAGGTGAGTGCAATTTCTCCCTGCGCTTGATTATAACAGCAAATATCACAAATAATTTGTTCGTACTAGATAGCTTGAAGCATTTCTCAGTCACGCAGATGAAAATATTGGTCGGTTACGTCGTTTCTCTTTCAAATTCATGGCAATGAAAAAGGTTATAAAATGGCTTCGTGTATATATTTATGTGCACTGTCCGACATTGTTAGCGCGAGCACGGCATCGGCTCTTTTCTGAAGGAGAGTTTACGTGCCAAAGCAATGAAGAGCATCTAAAAAACCAAGAGAGACGTCAAGAACTACGCACAAACACTGGGTCAGTACCTAGCTATGCGTGGAAAGGATCAAAATAAAGGCAAGTAACGCGTTCGATTTGCAATAAATAACATTCGTTTTATTCACTCCGCGTCTCTCATGTATATGATATCAAAAGTAAGTTAGTTCTAGTGTTCAAAACCCATATCTGTATGCTCGGAGACTTCTAAAATGAAAAAGGAAAAAAAAGCTAGGAAACTTTTACCGCCCAATAAATTTAGCACAATCTTAAAACAACAAACAGCTTTTATATCGCGCTTACTTTTACTGTTTTACGCGTTTTAACCGCTCGTAAATGGTGGTCATCTTAGTGGCATAAAAATATCTCAAATAATAAATAAGAGCGTCATCGGAATGTCGGCGATCCTTAAACAAGTCTTACGCTCTTTTCGGTTGTCATTCTTGCTTAGATTCGCCGCTTGTTTGTACACACCTGCCGTGGAACATAGGACTGCAATCGGAATACTGGGAAGATAAACATCGGCCACTGATTGAAAAAAAAAATGTAACTGAATAAATTTTCCTATTATGATGTTAATAAAGTGGCTATTCTTTATGACTAATATAACAAAGGTAATTCCTGTCCTTCTCCGGCGAAGAGGCAAAATGCACGCGCGTTTTCACGAATGCACAGGAGCACCCCAAAAGTGGACTGGCTGCTGCCGCTTCAATTTGAAACCTCAAGTCCCATAGACACGTGGGCCGGTTGAACCTTTAGCGTACGTTATAATAGCTCAATGGTTCCCGAGTTTCGTCTTGTCATTGTGTCTATTACGCAAGCCCTACCACAACTAAAAGAAAATTCGAATAAAGAACGTTTCATAACTTTTCCTTTTTTTTCCAAGCTTCAAGGTATTCGTATTAGTTAACCTCTACATGCAGCACAGAAAACTTCATACCACACGCCAAAAAAGTCGTTATGTGTGCCTTGTGCATTTTTTTTGTACCTTTTTTTTTCAGGGAGGGGGGAAGGGGGGGACGGGGGACTTTAGGCAACTGTATGTTAAATAGCCCAGCCTCTCGTTTTGTTACCCAATGTGAATTTACGAAATTACACCGGCCCATGCTCACTTTTCTCTATCTGTAAGCTACTCTAACCAACTTTCTCACAAACTCCTATTCGCTCAGTATACATATATCCTTGTGCTCAGATGACGATGTGGACGCTCACCTGGCACTTGACGGTGGGCGTCAGCCGGGGGTGCAGTCACGGGGTGGAGGGGGATGAGGCCTCCGTAAGCTGGGGGCGTCTTACGACCCTGCAAAGATAAAACCATGGAGAGCGTCAAGTGTAAAAACGCGATTCACCTGTTTTATATTTGGTTTTTATTAAGATTGTTGTAGCAACAGCAACGCTACAAAAAAATAGCACAAAGGCGGAGTATGTAGGCCAGCTGGTGAATTTTTAGGTCCAGGGCCTAAGACTAAAAGAAAAGAAAAAAAACATGGGCCAAACATTTGATCTGTGTTTCATGGAATTTCATTATTACAAAAATATTTTGTGTAATTTTGGGACGTAATGTCACCACTTCCGTCAATAGAATCGAACGGGTATAGGCTTCTCTGCACGGCGCTTGAATGTTATTTTATTATATTGAAGAGGTCTAGAGATAATGGCGAAAAAAGCCGCAGTTTATTTCTCTGTTCAAAAGTTAAACTTCCCATAAAATGCTCGGCCCTTCCGGTGTCGTGCTGAATGTTTCATTGAGCATGGCATGGCTTTGCTGGAAACATAGAACGGCCCCATCCTTCACTATTTTTCCTCAAAAAGGAACGTCCGCACATGCGCTAGCTTCGATAATGCGGACGCGGGCATGCATTTCTAGGTGGGGATTCTCAAAACCAGCCATCTTTATGCAGAGTTTTTTTGTTTTTTTTCGACCCTCATGAACGCGCACCAATCATTTTTTTATTTATTTATTGCATAAAATTAGTGATGCAAGGGGGAAAATGTTTGCGTTTTGGGGACGGCATCATGACCAGGCTCAGCCAATTTCCAGTGAAATAAAGTGATTTCACACAGCATTGAGGAGGCAACTTTATGTGGCACACCTTCGGTATGCAACATGGGGTTGCCTCCTCAGTGATAATCCTGGAAACAATCTAACACAGTTCGACATTATGAAATATTGTCCATTCTTTACAACCTTGCGGCTCACTCCTTGACGCACTTGAGGCCCGCTGCAAGGCACTTCTACCTGTTCAGTCTAAAATTTGTTGAGCAAGCTCATTTTGCATTCCCCTTGACATCAAACAAAACGTTGAAAACTAGCTCGAAGAGTGCAAAAATACCTTCTGAACAATTTTTTTTTTTTTATACATATTAGTGGTACTGAACGAAGCAATTAAATAAAGTGGAGCTGAGCTTGAAACTCAGTTTATTATGTACCGCCGCAAAAATTTTAAAATTTCATTATACGTTGGAATTGCAAAAAGTAACGTTTGTGATCTTATCTCAGTGCGCCTCATTTTTACTGCAGGCTTTCATTCGCTTTCCTCTAACGGCACCTTTGAAGTTCCTATATACACAATACAAGAAAACATCGAAACGCGCCTTCCACAAGAAATATAAATTATTTGTTCTTGATCTGCAAAGTGTTCTTCAAAGGTATCTGCAATACATTGCGTAGCAATAGGAGTTATTTACTTTCAGTTAGTTTAGACGTCCGCTACTCCAACGGAAGATTTTAATAAGACCCGGGTTCTGGACTTAAATACATACGGTGGCGTTTTTTCCGATACTCTAAGTAATCTGGTACGTATACTTTCCTGCAAAACACTGGGAAGAACCAATCGCTACCGTCCGCGAAGAGAGTTCGTCAAATTACGAGGCTCTAAATATGTTTAGACCTAAATCGTCATGCTCAGATCAATAACGTAGACTATTTTCTTTTTTTTTTTTAATATCTTGGTCTAAACAAATTTTCACCATCGTCAATCGCTAGCTCTCTGCATAAATTGCAGATGTTGACCTTCCCAAGTGCGTGGCTGGGGAGTAGAATCTTTTTTTTTTATAGTGAACGTTTTAATTTCAGTTATATTTATACGTTTTGGTATATCCGTATGAATACTTGAATCCTTGGGACACAACAAGCACCCCATATTATGGCAGCAAGGCAGATAATTTTTCGGAACCCGCAACACTTAGGTCATTAAGATGACGTTTGGCTTATTATTTGCCAGTTATATATTACGACTCCTTCCGCTGTCTGTTTTCTCCTTTCATCAGTCTGATATTGCTTACCTAAAAAAAAAATGCAAGTTAAAAGTGAATTTGGAAAATATGCGTTATTTTTTAGTATTTTGCGAACATTGTTTCGTTCCAGAAAATATAATTTCCCAATTTGTAACTCCGATGTAAGCAATTTGGAAAAGTATAAGTAAAACTCGAATTTACTGCCTGGTGAGATCAACAGCAGGTTTGGTCGAGCCCGAGTTGTTTATGTACTATGAAAAACAAAATTCATCAAATTAGGTATAGCAAATCTTTTTGTAATGTCAATTTGTGTTATTTCGAGCATTCTTCAAATTTCTAAACAAAAATTCCGAAAAAATGTATTTCTTAACGAACATTTTGTAAATACGCTTACTGGCGGGCTTTGTATTTACCGTCATATTGGTTTAGTAGTAAATGATCTGCGTTTTAAAGATACACTGTTTTGTTTTGCTTTTTTACATTCGTGTGAATAAATATTTAAATTTTATTTTCTGAAAAGTTGGTGACGCCGAAAATTTTGCTCTCTGTCATATTGTGTCGACTGTTTTAGCTATTTTATTTCAACTCTGCGTATGTTAAATTTTTATTTATAGTATATTTGTCTCGCTAAGTATGTCCAAGGTGGCAGAGATCGACTTTACCAAGTATGGAATGTTTCTAGCAGGCTTGCTGCGTGCCACTTCCATATTACTCATATATTAAACGAAAATATAAATATCAAAATTGACTCGGTTGTCTCAATGCTTGGGTCTCGTAAATTACGGTAGGCAAAATATTTTGTTTCACCGTATGCCACGCCGTCCCCATAGCAATGAGCTCATGAAGCCAATAAAGCCAGGGCAAATACCTTCAGCTAAAAGATATTCTAACTAATGGAGTTCCCAGAAGAAGAAAACAAAACAAACCTCTGGTGCGCTGCAGGTTGTTACTAAACCTTGAAACCACATGACAAAGAGGAAAGGTCCAGTCATAAAGGTATTCCACTCGTAAACGCTAAATATAACTGCGTACGAAGTTTTCCTTATCTTTGATATCCCAAACAGAGCTCAGCAAGATGCTCCACAAAACTTAATCATGAACAAATTACGTCTACTTGTTTACTCTCCTCCATTGGTTGCAGTGTATGGGGCGAGAAAGTCGTCTTCTTCTTGCGCAGGAGTTGCGGGGACGACAGATTGTTTTTGATGTTTTTGATTGTTTTGATTGTTTTTGATGGAAAAGATAGTGGATAGACCTCAATGCTAGATGCCTCGAGGTCTACCCACTAGTTTTTTTCAATCAGCCAATAAGAGCTCGGCGTCCTAACATTAGCGCAGACCCTTTGCCAGAAGCAGACGAACATGCGCTGCGCATTGAATTCGGCGTCCTACGCAAGAAGTATGACATGCAAGAATGCAAACAAAGGCAAGACGTATGCTTCGAAAGACAAGCAGCGATTGAAATATGAACGACCACACGCCCCGAACGTTCAATCGACCCATGCGATTCTATACTTGGGCGCCTCGTTATATGGTTTCGAGTTTAAGGGAAAGGACGTGTCTTACCTGAGGAGTCGTAGGTTTGGGCGCCGAGGCAGGCATGTACGGAGCTGCTGGTCGGTAATCTGACCGCTGTCCAGCAGTCAAGAGTAGTGCCACAGAAAAAGAACCAAAGCAACAAACTCAGCAAGATGCATGGGGCGTTCGCAGGCGCAACATCATCGAGACATCATGCCAACTACAAGTGCCACATCAGCGCGCAAGCCTCGGGATATGCTTCGTGTCATAACATTGAATAAACAATAAGCAAATGAATTTGACACTGAAAAAGGCACCTATATTGACTAATAGCTAAATAGGGTTGCGGAAGGGGTTTAAAGAGAAGCTGCTAGACTCTTGTGACATTTAAGGGGTAAAGCCATCAATATCAAAGAGACGCCTAGTCCTAAGGACGCTTTAGTTGAATTGCTACGCAAACACACGTTTTGTTTAAAGACATAAGCTGGTTTTAAGCAACTGTGCTTTTGGAATGCGAAAATTTCCCCAGATCCCGGTATCTGGAAGACTTGTTTCTAAACAGAACGTAGCACTATATCTTCAAAAATTAGACTTTTACTTTCATATTCACCCCTAACACTCCCATCGCATTCAATTATACGTTCCAACCCAGGCAAGTGCATGTTTTATTATATAGCCCAGCATGCAGCTTATTTCAAGGATTAGTTTACTTTCCTAAGTTAGCGGATCTAACCTACCGCAAGCACATATGCAGGAACCAATGGTGTTCGAAGTCTTAAGGCAACCATACAAGAGGAAAACAGAAACGGCTCCTACGAAAACTTCTGGGGCATCTTTTTTTTTTTTTCAATCAACTACAAAAAGAGGGTGACATGGCAATTAAAAAAAAAACATGCAGGATTTATGCAAAGCAAAACAGGCGATCAATGTAAAGGTCAACGTGCACGAACACGCGTTCAGCTTGCCCCCAACTGAGCCGCTGCGCACCGTGGTTCCTCAAACACAACTCAAAGCGGGTCAAGAGGAGCGTTAAGAGCGCAGCATTGTTTCGTTGCCGGCTTTCGGTCAGCGCGCAGGCAAACGTTATTCACGGTTAGTTCGCACATGACCGTGCATTTGGGGCGGATTCCGCTCCCAGGGGGGACACCAAAATAAAACTCGGAGATTCGAACTTGATTTTGTTTTATTTTTGAAAGAAAAAATACGGTGGCTTCACATGACAGCGTACAAATGCATTGCTTTCTTAACACTCCTCTCGACATATGATCAACATCGATACACAAACAAAGCGCGTCTTTTTTGCTACAATGATGTTCTTAATCGACGCGTGTACCTGGATGACAAGATTCAAACATTACATCTCTGACGAAGTGTTGAAGTTTAGATCGAGGAAGAAATCCTGAGCGGTAACGGAATTTAACCTTTAAAACAAGGTAGAGTTTATCCGACAGCAGAATGTTGTTCAGTATATCTTTTGTGAAGCAATCGCACGTAACAATAAAATAAAATACAAGAAGGTCCACATTTCAGTAGCCTTATTTCTTGGACATCATCTAATAAACGTTGTGTGACAAAAGCAAAAAAAAAACACTTAATTGTGGTGAGACATTAACAGCGTGGTTGGGAGGCAAAGCGATAATTTTAACTCCACTGCCACGTTACTGAATGTAACCACATAAAAGAATATAAATGAAATGATTTAAAAACTAATTCGAGCAGCACTGTGCTGTTATACGGACATACAGAGTACTAGAAAGATACCAAGTAGAAATGAGTATTTAGCAGGTACCTTGTCACATTGCTAACTTATATCGCCCTCTTTTCCGCTAAATAAAGCAGCTACAGTAGCACTCCTAGGTATATTATTGTCATCGTAAAAACGAAGTTCGCGTTGTAAAAGACAAAACGCAGAAAAATAATCTTCCTGCGTCTCACAGCAAAGCAGAGCAGCACTACGTATACAAACCAGGACCAAAAAAAAAGACTTGCGTCTCACGCCATTTAGCAAGTAAATTCAAGGAACAATACATCCTAAATCTACATGAGGCATTCGATTTCCCCATATTTATTTTTTCATACATCGCCGAGTGTTCAAACTTCACGCTACGGTCACAATAATCACCCTTTAACAAAGCATATAAAGTGTTCAAAGCTTCTGTGACCTAGATTTTAAAGAACTTTCAATCAAATCATTACATGTAAATCTTAGTGGCGCCTCACCATAACACTCTCCATTCACGACATAAAAAATGCAGACGCGAGTAAACGTCCCGCACAACCAAGCGAAACTTAACTTTCAAAACACCTGATCTTAACTGTATCTTCAAGGCAGACTTGAACAGTACTCATTATAAGTTATCAAATTACTTGTAATCAATTACTTTTTGTAGTGAAGTTTGTTAATCATAAAGCATTTATTCCAAAGTACTCACAAGGGTAATCTGAATATTTTTGAAGGTACTAAAATACTTGTAGCCATTACAATCCCCCCCTCCCCCCCCAGTACTTCCGAAGAATCTTACAAGCAAGTCTCCAATAAGACTTGGTTCTAAAACTTAGTCATCAATTTTGGTTTTACCAAAATTGATGAATTAGGAAGATTAGTAATTTAGAAGTCAATCATAATTTTTCTTTTTTCTTTAATTTTGGGTGTGTATGTCTCTACAGCCTGAACTTAGTCTGCTTCAACGGGCGACTTGTCTCTCAGCTGTAGATGAGCAGTTTAGCCAGTGCAGTACAACCGCCAGCCTGGAGTCTTTAACGTGCACCACGCAGCTGTGATACACGTTCACACGGGCAGGGGGCGGGAATTGAACCCAGAATCCCTGGGTTCTACAGCGCGAGCTTTCGCTGCACGTGCTCCAAGCTGGTGAGCCCATTTGACCACAGGTCCCCCTTGTTTGTTTTGCCTTGTACCGTTGAATACATTAATGGAAGTTCGCAAATGGCGGAAATTCGTCTAGACTACCATCTCAAAGCAGTGCGAAAACGCTATACAAGAAACTCCATCGAAATCAGTGGCCTTCTTCCACTCATAGCAGGCGTGAGCTCAAGCTCACCATTCTTCCAACACTCAGAGACCGGCCTTAAATCGCACGGAGTCCCCCTAAAGCACAACTTATAAACACAAACCACCGAAATGCCTCTCTATGCACGAGTGCCATCCGCGTAGCGTCCTTCTCCCTTATCATCGAAAGGAGAGGACGCCTCCGAAAAAGGGCGCACAAGAACAACCGAGCGAAAACAAAGAAAGGGCTCGAGCCTTCCTTAGTTCATGAAAGCTTTGCGGAGATGACTTACGCCGAGGGCGACGGGAGAGTCATAGCAGATGCCCGGGCTGTCGGGCGGCGGTGGTGGCTGCTGCGCTGCCGCCACAGGCGCTTGCCCCGGGCCCGAGGCCGGCACAGGCGAGTGCATGGGCGCCGCCTGACTAGGGGTGAACGGAGCCGTCGACGACGTGAACTTGGGTGACGCCGAGAAGAGCGGCGGAGGCGGCGTCTGGCCGACGCCCGACATCGGGGCAGCAGGGGACGTCGAAGTCAGGGGGGCCAGGGGGGCCAGGGGGGCCAGCGGGACGTTTTGCGGCAGGTGGCCTCCACTGAAAAATGAAGAGAGAGAAAGAAAGTTATTGTTGAAAACTTTGTTTTTTTTTCTAGGAGAGCGTCGCATCGATTGAACGGTAGAAGGCCAGAGATTCGGGATGATTGGGCGCTCAAGATTATGAGTGGAGAAACGCAGAGGGTAAGAACAGCAGAATTGGCTTACGTGAAGACATAGTCGCGTAAGGCTTAAGAAGCGCAGGGTCATGAGTTCTAATCGTCTTATTCTAGGTCCGCAGTAAATGAGATTGAGATAGAAGCCGATTACAACGCGAAACAATGAATCACAAAGAAAGAAGCGTGAACTTGGCAAGGATTAAACCAGCCAAGTCCTGGGTTTCCTAAGCAGTCACTGACTTCATACACTCAACAAAACAAAAACGCCTGCGAGGTCATTTTTCTGGAGAACGCGGAAAGTCAATTACTGCGAGCAGTTGAAGGATACAAAAAATATCAAATTGCTGAAATTCGACAATACAAAAAAATACGATGTACTCAAGGGCATTGGGCATGGGGTTTCATCTGCTCATTATTTCAGGTCACGTCATTTTTTTGCGTCTAATTGTTCTTTAAACTTTGTCATTAGCTGGGATTCTTATCTCGTTTGCCGTGATTGTCTGCATCTTGCAAGAAAAGTAAACTCGCAATCGATTTTTCCTTCTTTTTTTATTTTTCTTTGGTTTGGGGGGGGGGGGGGGGGGGGTTAAGGGATCTTAGAAAGCTTTATACGGTTGTTCGTTGTTCGCGGCGCACGCTCAGAACTATACCCTTCCTGAAACAACTTCACAAACACTTGGCGAGTCCCAGGCTTACGATCGCTTTGCGTCCAATTATTTTCAGGCGTTAGCTAGTACAAATAAAATGAATCAATAATTCAGAAAAGTTATCATAATATACCGTGCATTTCCAAAGCTCTCATTGACGACATGGCTTCCCATCTATCTCCGCTCCAAAAACAAACATCTTGATTGGGAGAAATCCGTGGTAACAAACCTTTCAACCGGCCTCTCGCCCAATCAGGACCGTTGTTCTCGGCAGACAATAAATTAGATCTACATTAGATCTACATAGTCACGAGAGCATGCGCCGCAAACGTCCAACTACATGTGAACACCTGTAGCAACTGACACTCGAAGGAACGCCGAGTCTCTAGTTCCCTAATATCACTCTGCAGCTGATGAAACTGCGTCATTGGCCGATAAGAACGATACGGAAAAAATAAAAGCCACGCCCCATCTTTTCTTTTTCTTTTTTTTACCGATATTAGGTACCATTGTTTTTTCGTGGTTTCAGTAAATAAAGACAGACGAAGAGAATCATTTACCGCTGCGTTTCAGATTAAGCCCCAATGTCACGACGCGACGGAGATAATCAAGCAGGGCCAAAAATCAGTGCATCGTGCACAAACTCCTTGTGCGTTTGCTATCCCCGGCTAAATCAGCCACGCGCACCGAATACGGCGTGATCCTGCGCTTCTGCGCGTGATTCACGTAGCCGGCAAACGCACAGACGACGATTGCCTTGACGATGCCCTTTTGGCGCTGCTTGGACGCGGTCGGACTTGGTGTGGAACGACGTTAACTGTTGAAACCGGTAAGTAAACGCGTGAATCAGAAATCACTTCGATATATCCGCTATTTCGTTATAACCGAAGTCGGTTATAACGAAGTGCAAAAGGGAATGGGAAATCGTCATTGCTTCGCTGTAGCCGCTACTTCGTTGTTACCGACTTCGCTTATAACGAAGTGCAAAAGGGAATGGGAAATCGTCATTGCTTCGCTGTAGCTGCTATTTCGATATAACGAACTTCGTTATAACCGGTCTCGAGAGTATAGACAGGGCTGTATGTGTCTAATTCTTCTTTTTCGTTCGTTCAAGTTGGCTCTACCGCTGAAGCAGAAAAAGTGCATGTAGTATATACTATGGACGCGGCCGACACTACGAGTCAATTGGACCAATCAGACAGCTTCAAAAGCGCTTCGCCATGGTGTTTGTTTTGTTTCTGTACGTGTTCTACCGACGCTGTACCAATCATAAACAGAAAAAGGACCAGTGACTCGAGCTTTTGACGCTGCTGGATTGGTGCCCTTGGCTCGTAGCGTCGGCTGCTTCTACACTTAAGCTGAAATGAAGTGAAGCGTAGCATGCCACTCTTCACAAAAAAAAAAAGTAAAACGTGACAGAACAAGAAGTGTGCAGATGACAACGCAGGAAAGTATGTAGGCTAAACCTTTTGTGATTTCGAAACCTTGCGCAGGATCAGTGACACTAGCATACCTAGACATGTCCTAAACGCGTCGGTGTGTTTCTTGGTTCTATCGCTTTATCGTACTGTATGGCAAACATTGTAGAGAGTACAATCGATGCATTATATTATCAGCCAGGTTTTATAGGTGCAATGTAAATTCACTGCATGGATCTGGGAAAGTAGTGCCATTGCCTTCCCACCTGCTAGCCGGACACAAACAAATACCAACATACAGGCGACAAAACCTCTCAAAGTGATTGGCTTATCACTGTCGCTTGCCATGGTGATCGCCATTTTAGACCCTTTCATAGCTTCGAAGCTTCAAAAGGGGTCGTTAATACCAATCGCACCAAGTTCGCTATGGAGCATCATCGCACTGAAAGCGTTCCTCGGCAAACATGTCCGTCTTTGGCACTGTGCATGCAATAAACTTATCACTCATGCTTATTTTCCCAGATCTCTTACAATTGTGTTGCTCTTTTTGTGTGTTTCTAGACAGTAAAATTATTGTTCAATACCTTAAAGCACTGACGTTGCGTGTGATGGCAGTACGAAGGTGTAAGGCATCACACGCGGCGTCGGTGCTTGGGGGGATTGAAAAATACTTTTACTCTCTTCAAACACGCAAGAAGAGCAACATAATTGTAAGAGATCTGAGGAACTAAGCATGAGTGATAAGTTTATTGCATGCACAGTGCCAAAGGCGGTCATATTGGCCGATGAACGCTTTCAGTACGATGATGCTCCATAGCGATCATGGTGCGACTGGTTTTGACGACCCTTTCGAAGCTTCGAAGGTTTGAAAGGGTTCAAAGTGACGATCACCATGGCAACCGACAACGATCAGCCTCGAGAGATTTTGTTGTCTGTATGTTGGTATTTGTTTGTGCCCGGCTAGCAGGTGGGAAGGCTATGGTGGTACTTTCCCAGATTCAGTGACTGTAGTGCAATGTAACGAGGTCTGCACCAATGTTGATGTTGATTGACAAACATGATAATCTTTGCCCGACTACATAATTTCCGTCCTAGCGCGAATGATTCCTGAGCCTCGTTTTCTTTCGTCTTTTGTAACTCACGGTGGAACTGGCACAGGCTCCAGGTTGCTTCCGGGTGCGATATGACGAGCAGCTTGCTTGGCGTGGATATCACAATACAGCTTGTCCTTGACGTTGAAGTATCCTGGAAAGTGGATGAATACGAGGATAAGTCGGCTCTTTAACGGGATGTTGTTTAATAAACAACTTATAGTGTTTTTCGGTAGAAGAAAAGTTTGAGCTAGGAATAACGGCAATTATATTAAAGTGCTGACTCACCTACGTTCTTGAGCGATGTTCCACAGGTAGCACAGCGGAAGCATTCAGCGTGCAGAGAACGGTCTTTGATGCGGACAAAAACACCCCTGTGGATTACAAAAAAAAAAAAAATACAGTGCACATCAGCACGAGCGCGACGGAATCAGATTGTAATTTACAGCTCCAGTGTTTTATTCCACAGTAATTTTTTTAGATAAAAAACGAATAAAAATATTATTCTAAGTTCAAATAAATATTGTTGATATCCTAGATAATCCTTAATTGATGTACGAGTCTAGTTGTTATATATTTGTTAACATGCATTAAATGTTGTCTTCGATACTTAATAATTCAAGATAATCCAATCCGGTTATTTATTTATTTATTTATTTATTTATAATACCCTCAGGGTCACAATTGTCGAATGGTAAAATTAAAGGCACTGTGTGCGTTCACTTGTTATTATTTTTATATATTTTACAAACAGCTACTAAGTTGATGTTGTTTTTTTTTTTCTTTTCTATACCTCATATCACGACGTCAGTATTTATTACGAACCATACACTTTTAATGCAAACAAGTTTAACAATAGAAAGTTGTTGTTGTTTCTTAACGGGAGCCAACTTTCGCCAAAACGCTTCCCACAGAATGCAGCGTTGACACAACCAAATAGTTTCAATGATACACCACAAGTTTATCTCGCAGTCCACTTTCTGATAACGTCACCAACACCTATTAAAAATTGTGATTCCATCTTCCAGAGGAAGACACGACCATTGTACAGACTGCATATGATTAGCTGATATCTCGTAATAAATAACGCATCTTGATATGAAACTATCGTCTAAATCTTCTAATTTTGTGAAATCCAGTAATAGTCAGAGACGGCTTAAAATTCTTGTGCGATACACACCACAGGCATTAATGCTGTTCATGTGGACATAATTACGGTAATCAACTGCCGCAGACTGTCTTGAAAATGCATCCTTAAGGGAAATTACTACCTTCAACAATGAACGTAGTAATTTCCGAACACGTTCTTCAGTGAACAGAGTGACCTCAAAAGAAATTTACAGGAATAAGGGTTATGGCGCACTATAGCGGGTGAACGTTCATACTTTGAAAATCCCGAGACGGGAAAAAAGGAAGGGTCAAGCAAACCGAAGACTTCGGCGAACTTGCTTGCATCTTTGCAATAATTGAATTATAATTATAACAACTTCGTTGTTTTTTCCCATTCCTTTTTCCCTGTCTCGGGTTATTTTAAGTATGAAATCTGAAGGATTTTTATTTTCACCGCAAAAATAAAACTACGCATTACAAAACGCTAATTTTTGTCCACATATAGCACTAGTGGAGCGAACCAGATCCCTAAGTTTTAAAACTTCCCTGTCTCAATTTTTCATTTTCTTTTTTTTTTTTTTTTTTTAAGTGTGAAATTTACAGGATATTTATTTTTCACCGCAAAGATAAACTATGCGTTCCCGAACGCTAATGTTTTGCCCAAATATAGCCCTATTGATACGGATCGGATCCCAAAGTTTCAGAACTGTAACAGTTATTTCAATTAAAAATTATAATTGATTTTCTGAAAATTTCGGTGGGAAAATGGCGTCTTCGAATACACGGAGCTGAATTACGCCAGTTACCGAGAACGGGGCTCAGATTCCCATTGAAACTTTCGGAAAATCACTCCTAACGTTTTATAAAATAACAATTTTTTTTAACACTTTGGTATTTGGTTTGGACCACTAGCGCTGCGTCTGGGTGGAGGCCGAACCTTCGGTGATGCCGCGTTTATTTTTTCGATAAAAAAACAATGTTTCTTTTGTATTTTTGTTTTCTTTTTTTTTTTGGGGGGGGGGGGGGGTGGGGACACTGTACATTTTCATTATTTTCATTCGACTACATTTATTCCTCCCGTCTCCCCTTATTACATTTTCAATTTGCTTGTCTTTTTCCCATCAATGATAGAAACCTGAGACCGCGAACACTCCCCTGGCGTATCAATGGCAGCAGAAACCTAGACGGACAGCAGATAAGGCAAAAAAAAAAAAAGCGAGGGGATGGCAGACGTACACGATGAGCCTTCCGCAGTCGGCGCAGGTGTTGGGTCCGCCCACAGTGGTGTTGGACGACGGCGGGGGCGCCGGGGCAGTCTTAGGGGCCTCCACGTGACGCAGGTTGACGAACGGAGACGGCGTCGGGCTCTGGCAGGCCGCGGGGCTCTGGCTGCCCACCGCTGCCGGCACCTGGCCGACGGGCACGGGGCTGCTCGCTCCGCCGAAGTCTGTCCAGGAGCCGGAATCACGCGCGGGAAGCGCAAAAAACGGACTTGTAAGAAAAGGCAGAGTTCTCAGACCTGCGGTTGGTCAAGCGGGAGTTTCCGATGTGCCAGAAATGTGGGATTTGTTTTCCATCCTGCCGGAGCTGGTTTTAAATGCTGTTTATCGATAATTCTCGGGTTACGTTTAAGGGAACCATTTCAGAACATCCAGTGCGATGGTAGAAACAGTAAATAAAGGGGCTATTGTGCTACACCATAAAATCAATTCATGAATAGGGGAGCGGCTGCTGATGGTATCATACCGACCTCTGTTGCACTTGAGAAAAACGTTTCCGAAAATGCTAGAGTGTCGCTGAACACGAAAAGTTTTAATTTCGAATTGGTTACGTTACAGTTGTGGCTTAGCAGTAAAAATGATACTCGGTAGAGCGTAGAAGTACTGTGCATATTTCGTTTAGTAGTTTAGAACATAAACTGACGAGACACCCCTCCCTTGCGTCCGACAAAGTTGCGAAATACTTAGCTGCACATTATCCAGCGCTGGTTTTATTTAGGCTTTCACGGACACACTGGCGTCGTTTTTTCAGGGCGGATAAGACTCATGGTTTATTTGTATTATAATAAAGTTGTACTAAGAGACATCTTGCTCCTAATAATCGTCTCGTCAATCTGTAATACATCATGAAAAAAATCGACGAAATGCTGTCCGATAGCAGTGTTTGTGACACTGTGCTTTTGACCATGTCATGCAATCATCGATTGCCCCCTCTTGCATTTGTTCGCTCAAGTTCGCATTATTCTAGCTCCCTCTGACTGCGTTTAAATGAACAAATAGTAGCATTTACTTACCTCGTAAACGCGATGGCCCTCGTGCTTTCTAACGACCTACTGAGATGCACCACGCGTGCCACACTCTACACATTCCATTAGAGCGCGTGTTACGTCGCAGAAAGCATCTCGCTAGACAAACTCAGAAATAACACAGCCATTGCAAACAGCAGAATCGTACAGCGACAAGCGGTAAAAAACCGTTTCATTTTGCTTATCTTAGTTTCTACGTGGGTAAATATGGCGTGTTAGTGATGTTCTGATTAGTAGCGTGCTATTTGTCATGCATTTTCAGGGTTTGCATTATATACTAAATACCGGTTGCCGATTTCAGCATCGTGAAATGAAGCCTTAGAATTATTGCGCAACTGAGCCGTTCCTGAATGCGCGCATCTATAAAATACGAAGGGCAAAAAGGTAGCAATCAAAATTTCTTGTTGTAGCCTTATATACCTTTCCATCAGCGTCATAATAACTTTTCTTCGTCAAGTTGGCAGAATTCAGGCCTATGTCTGTAAAGAAGATAAATACCAACCGCAACAAAACAGCTCGAGAGATAAAATTAAAATGTCTGCATTGCTGCTGTGCCGTATTTGATTATACATTCGCCTTGTGTACAAACAAAAATATGGCAAAACTCGAAAAGTTTCGTAACCTAACATTCGATGTCGCTCTTTATCTGCGTCTTGCAGCGTACAAAAAAATTATTAAAATTACCATAGTCTCACTTTTCCTTATTTATTTACTATGGTTTCTTCTCATTTTTGTGTCTACTTTGAATTCATAAATTTCCTCGGGCAAAAACGATACCCGCGTTCTGTCGTGATTGCCAGACCCAAAAAATATTCCGTCGGCGAAAGAAATGCCTCTGTTCAATGCGACTTGCATTACGTTATGCGTTTTACATGAACCCAGCACGACGGAGTCATTTTAATTCGTTAAATAAGCTATTCAGTACGGCGTTTATTACTACTCGCCATGCTAGAACCACGGCTTGGAATGGAAGGAACGATATATCAAACGGCAGTCGCTTTTGCCTTTTCAAACTGCCTGTTTGAGTTAATACAATAAAATGTTTAACATGAAAAGCTCCTCAAAAATATGTGGACACGAGAAAGAAGGTACAGGACCATTTTATTGCAATGAAATGGCCATTTTACTGCAATAAACGTCCCTTACATTTTTTTTTTTTAGATTTTAAAGTATAGTTGTTTTTTTCCTTTTAGAATAACTACTTATGTTATCAGACACAAAGTTGAGTGTATGAGTTATAGGCTTTTCTTTTGCTAAAATCTATTTTAAATATACGCTCAATTCTACGTAAGAGTAAACGCATCAAATTAAGTTGCTTCCTTCCGCTATTCCAGCGAGAGAGGGCCCAGATTGAGCACGGGTTCGAGACAAATTATAATAGTCTAATATAGTACTCGCGCCAAGCTTATGCCCGCAAGGCCCCGCGATAGGTACAAAAAAGAAATCCAGAGCGATGGCCTTGCCACTAGGAAGTATGGCTTCACGCAAAGCTATATGCCAGATGGTCACCCCCTGCACACGTTGTTTGTTTTTTCTGTTATTGTTTTTTTTCGCAACTCGTTTTTCGGAGTTCTTCTCGGCTCAAGCTCATTGGATGCAGAACAATAATGAGACACTCGAGAATCGCAACCCCCTCCGATTCTTAAGCTGCCGGTAACTGTAGTTGCTTCCGGTCACGCTTTGCTGCAGCGAAATGATCGCAAAGGGAGGGAGCGAGGGAAGCATGCAAAGCGGACAAACCTGTCACATGCTCGTCGTTGTCGTCGTCGTCTCCGTTCACGCCGTTTTCGTCCCCGAGAGCGGCGACCAGCTTCCGAAAGGCAAGCGACTGCGTTCGTGTTTCTGACAGGCTGACGAGATCGCCGTTCTGTTCACCTTTCGGATGCTTGTCTTCTTCGAGGACCATTCGGTACACGGCAGACTCCTTGTTCAGCGGCTTGTCGCCCTTCATGAAGTTGATGCTGCGTACAAACGCCGGAGGAGTGTCAAGAGGACTCGGTAACCTTCTCTACGCCCAGCAACATTCTAATACTAACAAAATCTTGTACAGTCGTGTGCGATATGAAGGTGAACGCCGGGCCGTCGACCGCTCCGCGCTATCAGCGCCATGACGCGGCTGCCGTGGCAGCCACGTCATGGCGCTGATAGCACGGCACGGTCGACGGCCCGGCGTTCACCTTCATATCGCGGTAACAAAGCGAGGCATCACGGCAGCCGCGTCATCGCGCTGATAACACGTAGCGGTCGACGGTCCGGCGTTCACCTTCATATTGCCGGCGGGTGTACGTGCTCAAGAGAAGATAGTGTAGTACCTTTGTGCTCAGTTAACCCCATTTAATGGTGGCACTTAAGCCTCAACTATTAAGGATTCCTTTTGCCCTGACCCACTTTTGTACGGTTTGCTGGTCACTTTATTTCCTAAACATCCCAGCAGTTGCTTGCAAACGGTCTAAGTTCAAGCGTTTTGCTTTGATCAGGAATTGCGGCTTTTTAAAAATATTGCTATTAAATTGTGCCGTTTACTTTTTAACAATGTGCAGTTCGGTGACTGCGTATATGTGTTTCCCGTTGGGGACGGCGTATTAAACTTACTACATGGAACCTCTGGCTCCCCGTGTCTTTTTATCAAGGGACGAAGACCGTGTTGGTGTGTCTCAAAAGTGAAGAAAGAATAAACAAGTAAGACGAAGACGACAGAACCATATCTTCCATCTAGCAAGAGACATATAGGGATTTCAAAAGTGAGCAACCGATTAAATGCGGCGAAATCTAGGAAAGGGAACGTAAAAAGATAGTACGAAGGGAAGATACTATAAGATAAAATGCAAAGTCAGGTTGACAGAGTCATCTCTGATTTAAAAAATTCAACTTCAGTCTTCGTCAAAAGCAGTGAAGGATGAAAAACGTAGTCTTTGCGCTGTTCATGGTGAATGACTCTATGATCTCTCGCCCGTATCAGCTGTTGCTCGCTTCTGGAATTCCTATATCTATGTTGCTAGTTGAAAGATATGATTGTGTCCGTCTTACTCTTACTAGTTTATTCTGTCTTCACTCTTACCTTTTTATCATTTAGCGCCTATTTACTGATTGTTTATTTTATTTTACTTCATAGACATGTACTATCTATTTGTCAAAAAAATACCCAAAAAACGTTTCATTAAGTAAAGTATGCACCCAAAATTGTTTTAACAACTTCAGTACTGCAAGGGACGTGATCTGTTCACGTCCACTTATAACCTCGCCACCACCGTCATATTTTTTTCTCTCCCTCTCTCTTTCGATCTCCCAATCTCTCTCACTCTCTTTCTCTTAAGCTGTAACTAATTTTCCGACATATTTGTTTCATTCAAATTATAAATTCAGGACGCTGGTTCAAATAACAATTCATTTGCCTCACCCCTCTTATCCAATGAATTAAAGCACAAGAACAGGCAAAGTAAGATCGACTCTAGTTGCGTAAAAACTAATGTTCTGACAGACACAAAACGACAGCGATAGAACCTCATTTAATAACTCTATATAACACTCCCACTGACCGGAACTCTTCCGTGAAAGACACAACTAATATATAAAGTACTTTCCTTAAATGTGAACAACTTGTTAGTATAAGAGCCATAAATAGAGCATGTTTCTCAACGTTAACATTTAACAGCCTTTACGTCAAATTATCAAGTAAGGCATAGAGCAGGTTGCTGGCCGCAAGCGGTACTTTACGCTAACCAAATAGTAACTAGTGACGTATAAAAAATAGGTAAAGCTCATCCTTCTTACAAGTCTGAGGAGATGGTTAGGGATAAAGTAAGATAACAAGTTTCCGTACTTCAGCGGCAGTTCAGATTTACTCAAAATATGGAAGCAACAAATAAGATAATTTTATCAATTTTGCCATTCTGCAGATTTCAGTGCATAAACAGTATATCCTTCACTGACCCAACAGCGCCCGATGTGAGGACCTCCGTCTGCTTGGAGAGCGTGTCGGCGATGTTGTTCATCGAGTAGATGGGGGCCGGAGAGTTGTACTGGTTGTGAACCACGGCAGCCATCGTCCCGCCGAAAGGCTTGGCTGCTGTGTTGTGACCCGTTCCGATAGGCTTGTAGGGCTGTTTCATGCGAGCGATTCCAGCGCATAGGTAGTTAGAACACTGTGCGTTCGTTGTATACGCCTAAGATAAGACCGGCGTCTCTAACCCGAGATTCTGAATATTTGGCAGGGTGCCTCAGATATATGAAACACGTCTGACAAAAACACAAACGGTGTGTTTTACATAAAACGTGTAGACTGCATCCGAAGAGACCCAAACTGCCGTTATTATCAAGTAAAATGCAAGGTACGTTGCTAAGTCTGCTTCTAATGCTTTTATTGCTGTCTCTAGCTCCACAGAATGGAGAATAACACCATGTGTTATACATGATGTTATTCTGTTCTAACGCTGTTCAATCAAAGAAACCCTCCTCATGTTGACCAAAGCCTACCATATCAAAACGTTGACCAAAATAAACGTAGATTTATTATTAATCTTCTCTGGGAAACAAAAATGTGACGCACGAAGAGCTAATGTGTAAACCCATAAAGAGAAGGGACAAGATATCTCGAAGTATTTCACTCGAGGACGATATATACTTGTAAAACGCCAATCACTGCCTTGTAATTGTCATCAGACCTTCACAAAAACTGACAAGACAAGATAGGGACTGAGGCTATGTCGTCCTTCGAGGCTTGTGCAACATAAATTATCGCAGTGACGCCGATGCGCGTGAAGACTTCTCCGCTGCATTAGTAACAATATCCTCACCTGTTTGTTGGCAGCGAGCGAAGTCTTCGTGACCGGAGCCGGTTCACCGTTGCTGATTGGCCCGGGTCTCGGCGCTGCTCCAACGGGAGTCACCTTGGGCTTCCAGGTCATGCTCGCACCTCTGCGGTTTTCAATTCGTCGCACTTAAAAGTTTATTCTCACGCATCGATGGCCGCCCAAGACGCAGTGCTATGCAAATGGACACCCACTTCTCTCTCGCCACACGATGGCCGCAATCAGCGTAAATGTCTTTACCCCTTTACGAGACACGACTCAATAACGGCCCCTAAGAACAGTAGGAACAACTCGATTGGCCTTTGGGATTCGTCGCGCTCGTGCGTGTAACGATATCGCCCCTTAAAGCGTATCGCGCATTCTAAATGGTGCGCAATGCTGTCTGTGTTGTGTATCTTGACTTTAAGGGTCATTCTCGCAAATCGTTTTGTTATTTAGCAACAGCAGACGCCTTCATTGTTTGGGTGGTTCCCAGGAGATACCAGAAAACGCTCAACAAGAGATGGCCGATAAAAGTTGTTTGTTATCTATGTCTGCCGTTATGCGGAAGTCTGTTCATGGGAATGCAGTAATCCCCGTGGCTCCATTTGCAATGAAGCACATCTGGTTGTGATGAAACAGATTCGCCAAAATTATATTGTTCATCAGGTAGAGATTCCACTGTCAAGAATCTGTTATGAAACAGATATCACAGCTGTTATTGTATCTCAGGCAGAGGTGTACCTTTATAATGACTGAGGTGATGATGAAACAAATTTCCACGGGGGTTCTTGGTTATCAGATAAATATTTAGAATTTCCGGTAAAGATACCTTTGTCACAAAAAAATCCTGTTCTTATAATGCCATCCGTGCATTGTTAGCGATACTTTTTTTATTTCATTTATGCATGGGTCCCGTAAGCGCATATGATCAAATAATATCATATAAGAAGATATAAGAACCTTAGAAGAACATATAAGAACAACAAAAGATTATACAGGAAGTTAAAAGAAACATATTAGTTTCTTGTCAATTCTTTTATACTTTCCTGCGGTTTTTAAATGTTCTAATATGACCTTGTTTAATCGTATGAGTTCATTGGGCCATGAAATTTATCATACGAATAAGGTTTTTGTTTCTTTGTTTTTTTCTGCTAGAGAGTGAAGAATTGAAGGTCTCTAGGATAATAACACAAATTAGGACTAAGGAACGTTTTATTGTTTAAGAACGAAATAGGTTACCACACATAACGTTGTTATAGTTGAATAATTCTATTGTTTTTCTTCTCTTCCGGTTCTTGCAGCTCATCTCATTTCAGCAGCTCGGAAGTTCTTGTCGACATATTTAAAATGGTGCAGTCGTTAAATGCACTGCATAGAGATAAAATAATTCATTGCGTCTTTCAATATCGTCCAAATAAAAGTAATGTAACGTGTATCTTACAGCGAGAAACGACCAGAGGCAAAGACAGTTATTTCGCTTTTACGTTTGCTATCGCCTAGAACCCTGAGCGTTACATTCAATGACATCGACTGTTGGCGACGCGCGCATATTTGTCATATTTTGCAAAGCCGATTTATCGGCACATTCTATTTATTGTTATAGCAAATTAATACTGATCTCGAAGATGCATTCAATCTACAGCTTCCGAATCAGCTTCCGGTCGTAAAAACAACGCAATCTGTCTACCTCCCCCATGTACCTAGTCGGAGGACTAGCCTTCGTGCCACCTAATTATACTGCACACTAATTTCGCCTCGTCGTACTCGTAATATGAACGAAGATCTCTTAACGACAAAACGCTTTAATGGCGGATAGAGTTACATTGTACATCGTCACCGCGAGAGAGCTTCTCGCGCACGAAAGCTGTCCCGCAGATATAATGCCACGTGACAGGCAAATTTGTCATCTCCGGAGACGCATATTCCGCAGACAACCCCTAAGACCAAAACAAAACAAAAAAAAATACTAAAGGAAAGTTGGCCGCCCGGGGAAATGTTCCTGGGGTTACATAGTCTCGAGAGATTGACCAGACGCCTGACGTCACATATATCCTCGACGCCTTCCGACAAGTCTCGCTGCTTTCTTTTATGTTTGGCACTTTATATATATACATACAAATATGCGCACCCAACAACGTCTTCTTGGGGTGTTGCCATGTTGCGTCTGCAGAGCCCACCATTCGGAGGCCCGTATGTGACAAGAGATCCGCGCAGCCTCTCGTCTCTATGTAGGTTCATATAGCTTATGTTTTCCCTCTCCATTAGATGAGAAGCAACACTTTATTCATTCTCGGCGAACGCGATGACTTCTTGTGGGCCTAGGGTTATCGATTCGCCAGACTTTTTTTTTTTTTTCTTGCTTGTTTTATTTTTGCTGGAATGTTTCGTAGGCAAACGCGGGATTTATAGGCGAGATACGGGCGGAGAAGGCGGCTTTGGTGATACACTTACCACTATATTGAACATAAAAAAACCGTAATACTTGGCTCGGGGCTTCTCGTTAACGCGGACATCAACTGTGGCTTCGAAATAGTATTGTGGAGCTTGCAGTGGTGTATGAAACACGTAGTTGAATTACGAGAGGTGTTATATAGGCCTACACATAGCTGAGGGGTCAGGGGTCGCTTTATGGCAATAATGGTTATTAGAAAATTTTACACAAAGTGACACGGTGTTTCATAATATGGTCAAACTTTCCGGGGCATTTCATAATATAAAAAGTTTTTAGGCAAATGTCAAAATTCTAGTTCGTTTGCGATCTATAATACGCAGGCGATTACAGTCCTCGGGAACATTACGATCTATAGTAAAGAAAAGCATAAATGATTAATCTTTAAATGGGACCTAAAGGATTCAATACAAAAAAACAACTAATAGAGCCGTGAAAAAATATACCAATTCAAAAGTATAACAGCTGCTTAGTGATATTTGACGACTATCATCTAAAATATTCCCGGAGAACATTGCGATGTTTGCTGTTGTTCGGTTAAAATCATCATTTTAGTACACGGGCCGAAGCGTTGATGTCACAGAAAGTTTGGGATGGGAGTGTTAGTGTAAATCTGTCATGTCAGGAAAAGCTGACCTATTGTGCAGTGTTTTAAAATTCCTATAGTTGTGCACAGACACATAAAAGAGACATACATTAACAAAAAAATTTTGTGTCATTTTTTGTAATCTTTATATTGACAAAACCGCACATCGTATTTCGTTTCATTATCTTCTTCTAATCTACAAATACCCACACTTTATAGTTTATTATTTAGCAGGAATGCAAATAAAATAGATTCCACTAATATCAATTTTTGCTTATATTTATATTATTTACCATTTTTCGGGATGTTTCGCCTCTTGAAGAAATTAAAAAAATTAAGAGATTTGCTATATGGTCAATGCTAAATAAAATGCAAACGAAGAAATAGTTATAATTTGGTCAACAACGGATCGTTTTAAAAAAATTACTTCAACAAAATACTCACCAAAACCAAAAACTACGCGATAAAACGACTCCACGACAGGAGGACCAATTTAGGTTGATCAATAAACCCCGAAGTTTCAAGCCTAAACCAAAGGTTTGAAAGCGTCGATAAACAAAAACTTCATGTCTATCGTGCGTCCGTCCATTATACTTTCCTTGCCTTTATCTCAGGGAGCAGGTGACCCGGTGCCACCCGCACAATTTTGTTCGAGTGGCGCAGGGTCACTTGCCGTCCACCCCTACTCCATCTCCCCGAGGCAGAGTTCCCGTGCAAGGTAACCGCGTGAATTTCGCTAAGCATTTGATCAGGTGACTCGCCTCTGCACGCTGAGTTCCAGGTAGTTTCCGGCGCGCACGATGGCATCTTGAGCGTCCTTGTGCCTCAGTTCGTCAGTGGACTTCCCCTGGATCCTCAGCAAGGCATCTCCCACCTGGAGACCTCCTTTCTCGGCCAGACTTCCAGGATTCACCTGAGAATTGAACAAAAGCAAAACGTTAAGGGTCGTACCAGATTCTCAGAATAAGACAAATGGATGTTTTTGCATGCTAAAACATGAGTAACGACGTACAGTCTCCATCAATATCACAGACCCATTGGGAGCGCGCGGCCGAGACCTGCTCGCGCACTGGGCAATTCCACGTCGCTCCGAGGATGGGGAACGCGCTACGTGGATGCACGCCGACTCACTGGAGCTGCGTTATCGAGCTTTGCTCCCCTCAAAGCAACATGAAACTGCCCCCAACGAGTCAATTCATCGTGGTAATTATAACCAACTAGTAAAATATAAAACGAGCTTATAATTAACAAAACAGGAAGAGTTTCTCTTTTTCTTTAATCATCACTGATCACAGCAGATCAGAGCCCACTGCTCGCGTTGTTTCCCATGACCAAACTTCGCCTGCTTCACCATCATGGCACTCTTACCTCATCGACGCATCAATAGACATCAAAGCTTCATTTCGCACAGTCAAAATTAAACGTTGTCTTTTTCGAGTTTTCTTTTCTTTTTTTGGATTGTGTGCTTTTTAAAATACTTAAAGCTCAAAGTATCGACTTACACCACGGCATCTTTGATAAGCGTGGTACAGTCTAAAAAAAGTCCGTGCGTCTGCTTTCCCGTAAAACACTCGGAGAGCCAATCACTGCAACTTACGGAGGCAGCTCAGCGAATGACGTTGCGGAAGCATATGTTTCGACCAAAAAACGCAGTCTTAGTTGTGACATTAAGCAATGCAAAACGTCACGCTTGCATTGCTTAATGTCACAACTCAGACTGCGTTTTGTGATCTAAACATATGTTTCGGCATCGTCATTCGCTGAGCTGCCTCAGTAAGTTGCGGTGATTGGCTCTTCGAGAGTTGTGCGGGAAAGGAGACGCACGGCCTCTTCTTTTTTTTTTTTAGTGATAGTCGCACTTTTGTCCGCATCTCTTGGCAAATAATAAGCCTAATAATAATCCCACCCGCTCCTGACAGAAACAACAGTCTCAAGCCTACCGTAATCTAGTGGACCACGTAACCATGGGACGCGCGCACTCCAATCCATTTATCGATTCCGGTTATCGCAGAAGTCGCGAGCACTCCTGAGAAGTGGGCACCGAGCTAAAAAAAGAGAAGTGCGCGCAGTCCTACCCTTTCTGACGCATCCGCTCTCATCCTAAAACGAGAGAAGTATTTCGCTACGCTCGGAGAAGCTCGGTATCTAGCGCACGACCAGCGCAATTCATTATCGCATTATCTGGAAGCACTCGCTGCTGCAGCCAGCTGCCGTTGGGCCGGTATGCAGATAGCGTGTATACGACACACGATGCCGGACCTCGGACCTTCTGGGCGGCTGCTCCCGACCCGTATCTGCGTCGTTTCCACGGCCAATGTCTGGGTCTGTTTGCTCAGCTGCTCGACAGGTTGAACTCACCACTTCGGTATGTGAGCAATGCCGCGGCGGCGACCAAGCGGTTTCCACCGTACCTATACGGCGAGCTGCGCGCACGCACTCCTTGGGAGTTCCCAGCGATGCGCCCGATTGGGCGCCATCTCGGGCATGAAATCTGACTAATGGCCCACTACGTCTCTCCAAGTCTTGCGGGAGGAATATCCCTTTTAGGATCTAATGGGCTCTTGGTTTTTACGGCGGTTTTATGTTCTCGCGCTTCGCGGGTCGAGGAATCTAAAGCCGTAACTGCAAGAAGCGAAAGTAAGCAGGCCGATCTGGTATAGATTATTATTCAACCTTAAGCAGTACGTTCTTCTTTGCTTAGTACGAGTTTCTAAACCTCTGCGAAAATTTGTTTTCCATGTATTTGCCAGGTACAGGCCTTAGAAGGGCTGATCGAAATGAAAAATGAGAAGACATTTAGCGTTGCACACTAAACAAAAACCGAACAAGAAAGAACGTTGAGACGAGTAGGTGACACACACAAAAACAGCGCCATTTATTTGTTCTGATTATGTGCCAACTGGCCCAACTTCACGCCTTGCTAGAGTGCCAACTTAGCTAACAAAATGGTGCTTTAGCCTATCGTTTACGAAGGCCATATACCGCACCGGGCACGCGCTGCAAAACATGCTTTCGAGGTAGCCGCGAGAGCTGTCGGTGCTAACATTGTGCTTCGAAAACACAATCTGCTGAAACTCCACCAAAACGTTTTTCGCGTCATGTCTTTGTGACTTTCTTCTCTCTCTTTAAAGCGTCAACATTGTGTGTTCTCGGAAAAAAAACTGCCCATTTATAAAATTGAACAATATATAGCGACCAAGTTACTTGACTTTTCGCTCCCTCGCGTTTAATGTGGGCCTTGGGTACTTGAAAATACATAAAGTATTATAGCAATGAATTAGCAACCCAAAACAAGCATATCTCACGAAATAGGGACTGTAATTTTATTTATCGTGGACAACTTCTATGAATAGCTGACCAATTCGAAAACACTTAGCTAACTTGTTGAAAGTTAAAGAGCCAGCTCACAACCTGCGCACCTGGTGCTATATAATTTCATCTCGTGATATCCGAAAAAAGTAAACTCTGACTTCTTCACTGGCCAAAAAAAAAAAGAGGCTTCGCGTGTTTCTCAGTAGTCATTTTCGCTATTAGTATGGTCTTTATACGTCATTAACACTCGCCCCCCTTCCCTTTTCCCGCTCAACTTTACAGGCTGCTAAACAAGTCGCACGTCACTAAATAGTGACAGAAAGATGGCTAATGAGTACCCTGTATGTCCTAACTAATTTACCCATTTTTTTCAGTTTTTTTTTTTTCTTTTTGTTGCTTGATGATGAATGTTATTGATTCATGATTAATGTTATTACTTGCAGCCCGATGCTGGTATTACAGGAACTGTCACGCAGAGTCATTTTCGGTTTGTCGGTTACTTGCCTACGTACCAGTAAAAACAAACATACGCCTCCAAAAAGTCAAATTTGGTCCCGAGACTGCGACACACCACGAAAGCGGGTTATTTGTTTGTTTCGTCATAAAAACAGGTCTCGAGTGCCAGTGCTCAAGGGCGCAACCTTGGTTTAAGAAAAACATGAGGATAGCCGCCTTCCAAGCAGACGATTAGCGCTTTAAGAAAGGGGACATGCTTGATTCTTAGAAACTTAGGTTGGTGACAAATCCAGTCATTTTCCGACTTTTTCTGACTAATGTCTCGATGACCGTTGCGACATGTTCTTCTCATAGCCTGGGTTTCTCTTTTCATTGCGAGATTCTAGTAATTTTTGTGGTGTTTCTTGCACTTGCGTCTTAGCACCCAGAACAATTATTGTTGTTAAGAGTAATTTAGTACCCATTGCTTGTTACCGAGCGATAAATTATTGCTGATGACGTTGTGCTTCTTTTGCTTACGTTCATTTCCTAATTGGAAACACACATCATGACGCATGCAAGATGCAGATATTGTCAAGACACATCGCTTTGTTAGCCAGAAGCAATTATGGCATAAAATGCCTTTGCAATAATGAAAAACTCCTATGCAATATATATATATATGGAGATGTATTTCTTGCAAAGCTGTGGTACACCAGGATTAACAAGCAAATTTCCCTGAACTCAAATTAATATCGCACTCAGGGCATGGTTTGTCTCAAAACTGTGAGAACAGACGACGGGAGTGATAAAATTCACGTACCGATTGAACCTTAACGAGAAAGGAAATATCGGGGTTCTGCGCCGTAAAGCAACTGACGTTATGAGTGACGCACACATCAACGAGTACGCCTTCGCAATTGTCTTTGTGTCACTATGTTAAACGTTCATCTTAGCGGTGTCTTTTTTTTTTTTTTCGCGTTGTAAATATTTTAAGTTTTTTTTTCCTCTTTTTTATGATCCTGTGTTTTCTAGGAAAGAGGAAGGAGAAAAATATGGCAGAGGCACTTTATATGCTGCTTACGTGTTCTTCGTAATTTTGTTTTTTTGCAATTCAGAGTGAGCCGACTCTAACATAAACAATTCAAATAGAAATTTCTTGCGTAAGGTTAAAAGGGAAATAAAGACAAAGAAAGAAATGGGAAAATTTGAGATCTGACGTTCAAGTTGAACTCAGCAGGCCTATGGGCACTATGGAAGAAGGCTTCACTTTCGCACTTGTTTTTCGTCCCCCGCAACGCGCGTGGCGCCACCGGTACAATGAATTTAGTGTAATATAAGGAATATCTCGTATGGAAGCTCATCCGTCCTGGGGTTTGGTATTAGACCAATGTCTAAAAGCTTGATTACGAAACATTTGTTCCGCATTTCACTTCCACGATTTACAAATAAGGCAAAAGAGGGCACCTACTTAAACCGGAAAGTATGCGGTATAATCAACCACTTGTTTGTTTCATCTTATTTGTTTTTATTTAAAAGAAAAACTCGTCCTCGTCAACGCCCATTTTTTTATAATACAACTCATTCCTGCTATCATCTTTAAAAAAATATATACACAAATCACAATTTTGTATCAACAAAAACTATCCGTTTCTTTTTGTAACATTATGCCGTCACACATCAGTAAAATGAATCGTTAAAATATCCTGAATTTAAAATAACCCTCGGAGAACCACATCATAGCAAGGAAAATTAGGAGAACTTCTTCTGGACGTTGTTAGATATTAAAATGAAAAAGATCCTAATTAACCATTAATTCAATCGTTGAATATAACGTGAGTCTAATGAGCAGAAATTAATTAGTAGCGGCTAACGTTATACAAGCCCGTGTTTTCTGGGACCAAAACTGCCACAAAAACGTACGGCTCAACATAATCAGAACGTCGTTAAAATACTTTTGCAAGGCTAAGCCGGTGCATTGCTTTCTTCTTCCATGCGTCAGTTGCGTGGGCGCGCAGATGTGTAGAAAAGACCTCTCGTGATGTCGACACTGTTGGCAAACGCTCTCTGGGCGGAAAGGAATATGACGCGACAGTTGCCGGGTACCCAAGAAGAGCCTCTTTGCAACCCATATACGGATATCTAGGCCAGGAGCAGAGAGCACAC